AACAGAGATAGAGGCCACGTTCACATAACGTCTGAAAGAAAGCAACACAGAGAAAGAAGTCAAATGTTTGAATCTTTATTGAGAAATGCTTGCAAGGTACAATTATTCAAGTGAAAAAAACTTAAGATGCCTATAAACAAACACAAAAATGTTAGATACAGTGTTGATGATCACGCCAAATATCTATAGGTGCTAGAGTTGTCTGGATCCCTTTCTAGATAGTCTTGATCAATGAGACTATCAATTCGCCTCTTGATTAATTTCACATCAGGCTTAAACATACGACTCAACATCTCCACACATTCCAGAACCAATTGTTGATGCCCCAGAACTTTCCTGCTCTTCATAATCCTCACAACCGCAGCATCAATGGCATGTCTCCTATCTTTGTTCACATCTTCCACCACCTTTTTCGTGTCATCGATCGGCGGAATTGGGATCCTTATCCTCCTCATCCGATCTGTAAATCCCGAGTTGAACTCAAAAGTATCGTTCTGAGAAATAGTTTTAGTGTTTGGCTCCTTAGAAAGAATCTTGTATTTTGCACAGGATAGGGAATGAAGTACACGAACCAGATCTTCATGGGATAAGTCTAAATGACCCATAATCTCTGAGTAACTTAACTTGTCTGCATCGTTGAACAGCATGAGAGCAGCAGCTTGATAAGTTGAAACTATGAGTTCAATGGTTTTCTGTTGGAATTTCGCATTGATGTTGCAAGTACCCATGGAGAAAATCCATGAGAGGTTCCTGTTTTTCGTTTTGGATTCGTAGAAAACCTTGAAAGATTCCACGCACTTGACCATTCTGAAGGGAGATTGAGGCCAGAAGACCTGTAACTAGGCCAAAATGTAGTGGTAAGAACAGTAACTGATAAGTCAATTCCAGTATCCAAGTGTGGATTCTCATCGACACATTGCTTATAGCTTTTTGATTTTCCCTTGCTATCACCAAGTCCGTCATCATCCCCTCCATCTTTGAAGTAAAGTGAGCACCAAATTGCTGCTTCAATTTGCACACAAGAAGTTTTTCATGATCCTCATTGGCACTCCGATCATGAAGTAGCCGGCGACCAAACTTTTTCCGGTAAAACTCAGCAAACAAATCCTTATCGCTGTTATATACCAGAAGATTCACCACCTTCTGTAGGGTTCCATCTATTGCCTCATCACTTAGCTTCTCACTTCCACCACCTTTCTTAAGAACATTGTCACAATATGCAGCAACAAGTTCCGCACTTGGAATCCCAGCAATGCTTTTATTGCAGAACAATTCAAAAGCTTCTTTTAATGCCTTGTGGAAGATAATATTATTCTTAAAGCAATCTTTAACATATGCCATATACCTATCATGAAGCCCTATGAATTTTCTAACAATATCAATGACCTGTTCCTGAACATTTGCCTGATTATTAGAAGCTTCTTCAGCCTGTTGGACCAATATCATACCCTCGGCTGTAACATGCTGCTTGAATATACTAGCAATGTGGTCCAAACCTTTGGGTATTTCATGGTATAATCTGTAAATTCTGGAGAGATCTTCCACCTTATCATCTCTGAGCAACACACGGCAACCAGAAATCTCCTTCTCAAGTAATTGGGTTGCGTGGGTGACAAGCAACTCATGTTCAGCTCTCTGTACTAATTTCTTCTCTGTGCTGGAGTGTAAGTAACCAGCGTCACCAACTCTATACCTTTCCCTCTTCAAGTATTCCTCAGCCTTGAGCATATAATCCGGGCACGAGTCACCGGCGATCCAATTCGCCACCTTTCTTGCATAGTAAGTAGAAGTATCACGAAGCATCTGAACTTCAAAATCCTGCACATAATGATCCATTTCACCCATGCCAATCTCAACGTATATATGAACAACATTCTTGAACAGCGATCGATCAATCTGCTCTCCCTCACGTTCTCGATGGATTAGAGAGATCAAAGCATCTGTAACCTTAACCTTCACCTTGTTGAATGCTAAATCTCGGAAACAAGAAAGTGCAACAGTTTTGAGCGAAGGTAGAGAGTATCGTGTAATGTAATAGCGTTCGAGATAATGGAAGAAGCGTGAGAGCCATCTGGTCATAACTTTGTGGGAGTTCCATCTTCTGAGAAGATCTCTGAGTAAGAATTCATGGTGCTTCTCCCTTAAAGATGGCAACACAGTGGATCTGAGGTAGTCATCGAAAGTGTGTTTGTATCTCTCGTAAAGCTCTCTGGAATATTCATATGGTGCCCTTTGGGTACACATGTTGTAGATTGTAGTGTAGAGACTCATGTATTCCTCTGCAGTGAAAGGCTTTTCTGGAGAGTCTTCCAGAATATTCTCCAGCTTTGTGATTCCCTTCTGCATTTGGTTCCATCCTTGTTCCAGCTCAATGGGCTTTCGATCCGTTCCTAGAAACACAAATTTTCATCTTGTTCTTCAGTTCGATATTAATAAGGAAATATTTGTTAAAATTAAATTTTAAAATCAAACTAAACTATGCATATTAGAATCATGATCCTATTATTGCAAATTATTCCACCGTCATCATCTGAAATAATCCCTTATTTCTATCCCAGTCAAACCAAATTATCTCTTCGGCATGATTCTATTGCAAAATATTAGCAAACTGAAAGCATTGAAAAAAAACAATTTAAAAAACTTTTTTTGTGGGGCCAACGAGTGTCATTTTAACTTCAAGTAAAGTTTTCTCATCCTCGTCAAGTTCTCAGAGTTTCATAATTTTCAGAATCGTTTCTATTTATACAAGTATATGGAAGAAACCGATGTGATTGAGAACATAGAACCAATCAAAAACAGAACATTCAACAGGAAATTAATTGAAAATAGAGAAATAAAGCATACAAATTAACAAAATAAATGTGTCAGAGTCTGAATTGTAAAGAATGAAACCACGGAGCATTAAAGAGAAGAAAGAAGAAGAGGAAAATTTAATTTAATATGATAATCGTACCTTTAGAATGCATTTTTCACAATTTTTTCTTAGTCCTCTGATTCTCTTTGTGAGGTTTGAGTTTTTTGCATACTCCTCTCACGACCTCACCCCTATTTATAAATAATTTAGAACTTTATGTTTTTATTTGTACGAGGAAAAGAGATTTAAAAAATTTTAGATGAGAGATTATTATCGAAATCCTTTTAGATATTATTGATTATTTTAATTCTTTCTTGCCATCAATTACTTTAATTTGTCAAGAATAGGGAGATCCGAGATCCTGCTATCCTTTTTTTTTTTTTTATCATTATTTTCCCCCTCAGTCTGCCTTAAAATTTTTAGAGGATAATCTACCCCACAAAAATCTCATATATGGAGATAAGTAATATATATTATTTTAAAATTTTCCACACTCGGCCCCTAATTTAACATATTTATGTGTTTCATTTAAAATTGAATAATCCTCTAGATATTTAACTCTCTCCCGCTTTTCTTTTATCACTTTTTCATTTTTTTTAAATTCATATTTAAATATATTTTATTGTTATTTTAAATTTTAGTATTTTTTACCTTCCATTCAAATTGTTTGGATGAAATATGATATTCACGCTGCCACCGGTAAATCTCAGATGAGAGATTCTTAAAGCCCTTTTAGATATTAGTATTTTCCTTAATTTGTTAAGAAAATAGGGGGACCACCATGCCATTATAATTTTTTTTATTATCATTATTTTTTTATCTCCTTAATCTCTTTAAAAATCCTTAGATATCCTTTTTTGAGGAGAAGAAACGGAGATAAAAAACGAAGGGAGAATACAGATTCTTGAACTTTCTAGTTACGTGGAATTTTCATGCTGCTGGGTTACAAAACAGTTAGTTCTATCTCCCCTTCTTCTTTCATCACTTTTTGATTTGATATTCATATTTATGTTTTAGCTTAAATAATGAAAAGGTGGGTGTGGTTTACTCTAAGCTTTTATGTCATGTAATAAAACAGAGAGCAGAAAAAAAAAATACTCTTCCTTTTACACTATAAAGTAGGTCTTATATTTAAGACTGAGGAGTATTAAAATTTTGGGCTAAGATATTTTAAAATAAAAGATATATTGATAACAAAATAGAAATTTATATACTTTTTTTTAGAATAGGAAAATTTAATAGACATCCAGTCTTAAAATATACTACCTCCAATTCTTAATATAAGAATTAATTTGATATTTAATTTGGTTCTAATCAAATTGTAATTCTAATAATATATATGATTAATAAAAATATTTAGGAAAGAATACTTATTTATTATAAATAACTAACTTAACTAATTTTTTTAATATACTGAAATTACTCAATTAATTTTTATATTAAGCACAGAAAGTAGTATTTAAAAAATTGAAAAAAAATCACATGATAATGATAATCCCATTTCAAAATAAGTAGCGAAAAGCATCCAAGGTTGCATCAACGGTCTTCTATATAACGCTTGGCTTGAAAAAATGTGAATACCTTTTTTTAAAGTTGGAAAGGAAAACGAAAAAGATTAAGTTACATTCAATTTCTGAAATATTTTATCATCAGATCCTTTATAATTTCTAAAGTATTTTTTTAATATTAACAGAATCTTTAAATATTTTTTCTGTAATTTTTGATGCATCTAATAAGTATTTTTCTAGTAACATTCCCTAAAAAAAATTGAAGTGTTCATTGCCGTTGGAAAAAAATATTTTAGAATTCAATAAATTATAAATTAATTTAAATATTAAAAAATACCTCGCAATTCATGCTAAAATCGAACCGTTCAAAAGGCAGATGAATCAAGAATCAGTGGTGATGATTGGGCCCCACGTTATGCAATCTTTTGTCCGTTTTAACAGACAGCGTTGTAACTTTCGACTTTGCAGTGTAAAAAAGTAACAGCAAAAGAGATGATGATCTCCAAATCAAATCCTGCGTTGCGTGTCTTAGGATTCTTCTTCGCCCACACAGCCTAAATGCAATTTCGCTTCCATGATTACTACCCTTTACCACACAGTTTCCCTCATGATTCATCTCTCCCACAGTAATATCTCTTTCCCTCTTTATAACTCCCTCCATTTTTCCTGAATCTCATCACCTCCATTTCTTGCTTCTCTCGTCTCTCTCTCTCTCCCCCCTTTCACAATAAAAACTTCGTACTTTGTCCACAAACAGCCATGGCCGAGGAGGCTTCAAAGACCACAATGGAAAAAGTGGGGCTTGATGATGTTGCAGAAACTCAACCACACGCAAAGAATCTGCCGGTCTGATTTGTTCAAGGAAGAGAGTACCAAAGTTTCTGATCTTCCCGATCATGAGAAGAAGGCTTTCCAAGATCTTAAGCTCCTCGTCCAACAAGCACTGGACAACCATCTCTTCTCGGATTCTACCAACCAGTCTCAATCCAAACAGCAAAAGCCGGACACTCCTGTAGTTGAAAAGACCAAGGACAAGAAAAGAGAATCAGCCGAGGAATTATCTTCCGAACCGGCTCCTAATGTGCCCGGAGATGAACCTACGGAACCCACAAAAGCAGAGGAAGAAACAGACAAGACAGAACCTGCCCAGGTTGTTGTTCAGGACCATGAAACAAAAGCCATGGAAGCCATCAATGAGAGCGTCTCAACTGTCTCTACCTCTGTTTCAAAGGCAGAGGCAGAAACAAAAGAAGCCAAAGAGGAAAAGGAAAAGGTGTCCATCTGGGGGGTACCATTGCTTGCAGATGAAAGGAGCGATGTGATTCTGCTGAAATTTCTGCGAGCCAGAGATTTGAAAGTGAAGGAAGCATTCACCATGATCAAGAACACAATCCGGTGGAGAAAAGAGTTCGGAATCGAGGAATTGGTGAATGAAAAGAACTTGGGTGATGATTTAGAGAAGGTGGTTTTCATGCATGGCTTTGACAAGGTGGGGCACCCAGTGTGCTATAACATCTATGGGGAATTCCAGAACAAGGAGCTCTACAAGAAGACATTTTCCGACGAGGAAAAGAGAGACAAGTTCCTGAGATGGAGAATCCAATTCCTGGAAAACAGTATCAGGAAACTGGATTTCACCCCAGGGGGAGTATCCACCATTGTTCAGGTCAATGACCTCAAAGATTCTCCTGGACCTAGTAAGTGGGAACTTAGACATGCTACCAAACATGCTCTTCATTTGCTCCAAGACAACTATCCTGAATTTGTAGCCAAACAGGTACCACTGTAAATTTCATATACCTTCTTATATAACATCCTCAGGTAATTCGATTAAAGTAAAAGGTGTTCAAATTTTTTTAATGCAGGTGTTCATCAATGTGCCGTGGTGGTATATGGCAGTGAATAGGATGATAAGCCCTTTTCTGACCCAGAGAACAAAGAGCAAGTTTGTGTTTGCTGGGCCTTCCAAATCTGCAGAGATCCTTTTAAGGTAAGGATCAGAAGGTTCAAAATTTTTCATCTTCTTTTTCACATTCAGCTTGGAGATTTCAGTTTGTGGTTTGGCCGATGGATTTCAGATACATCGCAGCAGAGCAGCTTCCGGTCAAGTATGGAGGACTAAGCAAAGATGGAGAATTCGGAAATACCAACACTGTCACAGAAACTACAGTACGGCCAGCATCAAAACATACCGTGGAATTTCCAGTTACTGAGGTGGGTTTTTCCCATTGATCTTTTTCACCATAATAAGGAATCTTTCCTAGGATTCCTCTGTTTGTTTTAGTTTCCTAGACAGCTATCCATTCCATATAAGGACCACTTTGATGCTAAACATTAAAAAAAAAAAAAAAACCACGGCAGTTGACAAACCCGAAGCACTAAATTTCTCATCTATACTTATTATGGGTTTGCTAATTGATGATCCAAGTTTCTAACTTTTTTCCTTTGGGAATTATGCAGAAATGCCATTTGTTTTGGGAGCTGAGAGTAATAGGATGGGATGTGAGTTATGATGCAGAATTTGTGCCAAGTTCTGAAAGAAGCTACACGGTGATCATCCAGAAGACCAGAAAGGTTGCTTCATCAAACGAACCAGTGATCTGTGACAGTTTCAAGACTGGTGAACCTGGGAAAGTTGTTCTCACCATTGACAACCCAAGCTCCAAGAAGAAGAAGCTCCTGTACCGTTTCAAGAGCCAGCCTTCCTCTGACTGAAAAGGCTTGTCGTCAAGATTTTGAATATTGAGAATTAATTCTGTGGAATTATTGTTCTTACATGGAGGACACATTGCTCTGGTTATGTGTATGTAAAAATCTGAGGAAATATTTGTGGGGGATCTGTAATTTTGATACTGCATAATTTTGAACTGTCATGATCCCACTAGAAGATAAGAAAGGGATACCTAATCTAAGTGTTGTTGTGCTCGGCTTTATTATTTGCCTTCTTTCAGATGTATTTTGGTAGCCATGGATTGCCTGTGCCTTTGAATAAGCTATGTGTTTTGATTAAAGAAGCTTTGATCTGGATTTTTTGAGACAGAGAGGCTTTTTGAGGCTTTTAAGGTGGGAAAAGTGGGGTGCAAAATCGACGAGGTTGAGGTTGAGGTTGAGTGATTCTTTTATGAGACGAATAAAGACATGAAAAATATTTGATTAAAGATGCTCTGACGAAGAAAAGAGAAAGACGGAGGCGCAGGTTAAAGAGGCGACAACAGAACCTGAAAGTGATAGTTCAAATGCCGCAGCGTGTCTTCTTCCTACGGCGATGAATAGACAAAAAGATTGATCCAACATATTTTTGTCGTCAGATTGTAGCGCGGTGCGTTACAGCGATAAAGAAAGGAATTTAATTTATTTAACTATACTAATTATTTTTTTCTTAATGTACACAACCCAAAGGTTCCACCTTTTCTCGAGCAATATTCATTCCACAGGTCATCGTGGCTAATAACACCTCAAATATATTCCTAATTAACATATTCCCAAAATGTTGATGCAATTTTATGTTGTTGTACTAGTTCTAGTATTAAACATACTTGTCCGGTCTTTAATATAGAACTTAATTGTTGAGTAGGTTTTAATCTTAAATATAAGACCCATTTCTCATATTTATCAATTTTTTTCTAAATTACCCCTATACTCCCTTAATCATAATCAAGTAAGAGAAGAAGAGGAAGTATTAATAAAGATGATTATAGTATTTTAGGACAAATGTGTCACATTTTTTATAATTAACTAACTTACCTAACTTCTTTGATCTAATCAAATTAGTTAAATAGGTCTTATATCAAGGACCGGAGGAGTAATAGCTAATTTGATATTCAACTGGACCTCAAATATAAAATTTTGATTTATTTTATCTCTTATATTTATTTTTCCCCCCTCAAAGTAGTCATCATAGTTTAAAGGGTTTTCATTCTAATGCATATGATTAACAAGATATTTTGGGAAAGACAATACATATTTATTTATTATAAATTACAATTAATGTTCTTAATATTTTTAAATTATTTATTTATCTCTGATATTAACAACTGTATATAATTAGTATAGTTATTTTCATAAATATAGTTTTGATTTGATGGAATCATCACACTGGCCTTAATTTTTTCTCAAAATATCCGTGCGAGTTGCACCTCATGGCCTATGAAGGAGTTATGATCAATGTGGTCCCTGTAGGCCCAACCCACCCGAGATTCCCAAGCAAAGCATGTAAGCCCGAGCTCTTAGCTCTGAAACTCTACCATGACAAAAATACATAAACATTCATAACTTCGAAACTTGACATATAATATTTTGAATTTTCCAATGAGTACTTGGTTTATCAATATATGAATATTGGTAAAATAAAAATACAAGAAAGTTTAATACCATCTTTAATCCTTGACACTTGATTTCGTTTTGATTTTAGTTCCTAAAATTTGGAAGCAATGATTTTTATTATTGAAATTTAATCTCATTTTGGTCTTTGTTCGTAAAATTTAAAATCAATGGTTTTGGTCTTTGCGATTTGACTTCATTTTTGGTATGCGTATTGTAGTCTTTGGAACAGTGTTTTTAGTCCTAAAAATAAGAAGCAAAACTAAAACAAGATCAAATTTTAGAGATCAAAATCAACGATTTCAAATCTCAATGACTAAAATAATTTGTTTCAAATTTTAGAGACTAAAATCAAAATGATATCAAATTTCAAGAAGTAAATAATTATGGTATTAACCATGGAAAAAATAATAACACTTTTTCGGAAAAAAAAAATCAATCACAAATACTTCATTAAAAAAATCTTGGTTTATCAACATCAGATTGTGAAAGGCATAGTGCCCGTTTGGATTAATAGTGAACAACTGTGATTTTATATGATCGTGATTTTTATAAATGACATTGGTTAAAAGTAATGTTGGCTGATTATGATTTCTATTTGGATACTTTTGGTTATAAGTGACATTGAGAATATGGATTATGTTTGGATTCTATTTATTCAAATCACTAATAAACATACAAGTACAATAAGGGTAGAAAAGAGAAATATAATTTAATATAATTCTTATAATTAATGATTATTATTTAAATATAATTTTAATTTAACAATAATTATTAATAAGGGCAAATAGGAGAAATCCTTAATGTTGAAGCCTCTATGGTGATTTTCCAATCTCAAAGCTACTCCCAGTAGCTTATCCTCAAACTTGCGATTGGTACTAAATATTTCAAAAAATTTACCTAAACAGGATAAATAGACTCTATAATGACTTATTTGAGTTCAAACACGCTCACTTATGGGTGTTTGAATCAAAATCAAATCATGGTTTTAGAAGTGATTTTACGATCTACGAAATAAATATATGGAGAAGTTTATTTCGATTTGCTGAAAAGTGCTTCTGAAAACATTTTTCAAGGTATCCAAACATCCTCTTAGACTCCCGCCGCTCAACGAAACAAACACGTAGAGTAAGAACAAAAGGGGAAGTAAGCGGTGAGGTTGCAGCAGCAAAGGTGCGTGCATGCGGAGGATACATGTCGAGGAGCCCTTGAGCCAGCTCGTTTGTTCTCTCAGAATTCCCATGTCGGTCACATGACCGCCACCGAACAACCTAATGAACATACGTCTCTCGCGCTCTCTCTCTCTCTCTCTATATATATATATGCACACACACATATCACCACCATCTCCATCCTTCCTCTTATAAATTACACTGAAGTTGCACATTTACTATACAACTACTACTATGGAGAAGACTCGCGTTGCCTTTGCAGTTTGCTTCGTCTTGCTTCTTATCTTAACTTCTGGTATGTGATTTTACTCATGATCATGATAATTTTACAGTTATATATATATATATGATATATTGATGAGTGCATTGATATATATAATGCTGAAGGGATGGCGATGGAAACCCAGGCCATCTTTAGACACAAATGCCGGAAACCCAGCATAAGGTTCAAAGGGATATGCGTCGTGAACCGCAACTGCAACGCCGTCTGCCAAGGCGAAGGTTACATCGCCGGCGAGTGTGAAGGTGCTCGCCGCCGCTGCCTTTGTTCTGTCCAATGCTGATTTAATTTTCCCAACATCCATCATCAGATCACCACACCGCCGGTGCCGCCGTCATCCTCCTTTTATACTACTTTGTTCCAAATTAGTTATGCATGTACTGTTTCTCTGCGTCTTGTTGTGTAATCTTTCATAAATAAAATAAAATTTTATGTTAGAATTATCAATTAGGTGTGTTTTTTGTCACTAGACAACAAAACCTATGGTGCTAAGTTTTACTTTTCTATTATGCCGACGCCCCCTTTAGGTTTATCTTCATTAATGAAATATACTTATAGGCTTTGTAGTGTATGGTGCCATTTAATCTTCTTTTGATAATGGTATCGCAGGGTTACACATCTACATGTGTTGTCATTTGTCAGATTATTTCACAAGCTGCCAATGACATGTGAGGGTATAAAAGCTCTTCTCTATGTCAAATATGTATAATGTCGCTCTCTAAATATAGGCATCCTTTCGGTGATAATTAAAAAATACTATTTCGGTTTTAAATATAAGACCTATTTTGTAATAAAAATTACACTATAAAATAGATTTTATATTTAGAGTCGGAGAAGTATTAATTTCCTACATTGTAAAGGACTAACTCCTTCTACTAAATCTAATTTTTTTAAAGTAAAGAGTTATTTTTCCATTTATTAGTAAGCTTCGTTTCTTTGGGTATGGGCCTTTAGAGTTCGAGAGGGCCCAATTTTGAGCTTTTCCAATATTGGTCATGTACTCGCGCATGACAAAGTAAAAAGAGAGAGAGACAAAAGCGGAAGCAAAACTGACACGAATTAAACAGATAGGGAAAAAAAAATATACGGCCTCCTGTCCTAATTATAAGATCTAATTGACTAATTTAAAAAATTAAAAAAAAAGTTAAGTTAGTTATTTGTAATAAATAGGTATTGTCTTTCCTAAAATATCCTTACTAATTAAGTGTATTGGTTAGAATTACTATTATTAAAAGGACTATCTTGAGAAAAAATATATAAATATGAGAGATAAAATGGATTAGAATCTTATATTTAGGACTAAAATAAAAATCAAACAAAGTCTTATATTAAAGACCAAAAGTAGTATTAGAATTCAAAGATGCCATAGAATTTGCAGGGAAAGTAGTAATAAATAATATAATTAATGTTGAAATTTATAAGAAAGAAGGGATCCGATTCGGGAAATCAGACAGGCAGGGGTTGGTAAAAGCCTAAAAGGACGATGAAAAGAGGAAGAAAATATAGATGTCAATCATGGGAAGGCAGGGTTGGAAACAAAGGAACAAGAATAATGTGTGCAAGAAACAAAAAAAAAAGATGCCCTTTTTAATGATTTAAATAATTATGGAATATTTTTACAGGCCACGTGGCGCTGAATAGTTGTCATAGAGGGTGGGGGCGTGTCTTTGAATTTGATTGCCAGTATTTGAGACTTCCTAATCTCACGTTGTCGCGTGGGCCCGCTGTAGAAAATCCCTCAGCGGCGATAGTCACACACAATTATTTACTCTCCTGCTCATAGTCAGACATATGCATACTACCGTGCCACCTAAAAAAATCAGACCCCTTAATTTATTTATTGTTAATAATTACTTTCTAAAAAGAAAAAAGGAAAAGAAAATCATGTTTCAAAGCATGACCGTGAGTGGCAATGGCATGATTGATTCGGTTGAATTCTTCTCATGATTTGAATTTGGAAAAACTCTTTTTTATTTTAACAATGTAAGAGAAGGAACCCGTACACCCATGACACAAATATACCCACTTCAATTTTACTATGCGGTACTACTTCTGATTTTTAATATAAGAGCTAATTTAATTTTTAATTTGGTTCTAAATATGATATCCCAATTCACTTTATCTCTCATATTTATTCATTTTTTCCTCAAGATAGTTCTTATAGTAGTTGCATATGTTAAAAATTTAATTAAATGGTAATCTAACTAATACACGATTAGCAAAAGTATTTTAGGAAAAACACCATATAATTATTACAAATAACTAACTTGACAAACTTTCTTAATTTAATTAAATTAGTATAATATAAATCCACAACCTCGTTTATAAAGGGAGGCATATATGAGGCGTCATTTGATTAGTTATAACTCATAAGCTCTCTGATTACACGGAGAGATTAAATTGAATAAATTGAATTTTAATATTAAGGATTAAGTTGTATTTGAGTTAAAAATATAAAAGTTAGATGCTTGATTTTTTGTTCTTTCTCATTAACGGACGTTCTCCAATATGAAGATTCCTCGATAAATTTGTCTAATTTTTTGCTAAAGAACTTTGTTGAAATTAAGAAATTTAGTTAAAATTAGTTCATGCTATTAAAATTTTAAAATTATTGTTAATATTCTTTGTGCATTGTGACTTGTGAGGGTTACATTCTTCACTTCTATTCATACCCTATCCCTTCCTTACACCTTGAAATAGTATCGTGAGGCTATTCTCAATAATTTTAAACACTAATTTTTCTGAGACAAAGTTGGTAGGTTAAATACCTTGAGCAAGGATGATTTTATAGCAAGCACTAGACAGAATATAAAATATTATTTAAAAAAGGACATGAATATGTGAAATACTGAAATAAACAACATATTAGAATTTAAATTTTTTTAAAAAATATTTTTTGGAGAGAATCCAAAAAATATATTTTGATTTCAAAATTTTAAATTAGTCTTATTCATTACACTTTAATAATAATTGACAAAATTTAAAAAGAAAATAATAATATATTTTTGTAGTCATTCTTTATTTGAGATTTTAAAACTTAAAAAATATATATTTAAATTTTTGCTTTTTTTTTTATACTTTTTTTGTTCAAGTTTACAAATGTTTTTTAGTTGGCAGAGGATGTGGGCCCACCAGCTACAATTGATGAGGTGGGAAAACCGTAGAAAAAGGGAAGTGGGTTACCAACCTCAAAAAGATTCCTCCACATAATAATCATATTATTTTGCTCAAGTGCTTCTAGAAGCCCTTTCAACCTTACCAACCTTCTTCATCAAAGCCGGCTCCAAATAATTCACCATCTTTTATAATACTCCTCCGATACTTAATATAGGACCCAATTCTTGAGTTGGTTTTGATCTTAAATATAAGGCCCATTTTTCATATTTATCAATTTTCTCTAAATTACCCTTATAGATACTCTTTCAACTATAATCAAGTAAAAGAGGGAAGAGAGGTATTAAGAAAGATGATTATGGTGTTTTGGAAAAAATGTGTCATTTTTCTTATAATTAACTAACTTACCTAACTTCCTTAATCTAATCAAATTAGTTAAATGGGTCTTATATTAAGGACCGGAGGAGTATATCCTTATTAGTTTGACATTTATTACATAAGACTCTAACCCTGTATCAGATCATAACCGTAATAGCAATAATAAAACAAAAAATATTGCTATTTTAACTAGCTAAATAGTACTCCCACCTTTTTTTTTTAAATAAGCAATAATTACTATTCTTTTTCCTGTCTCTAAATAAAAATAACATTTATAAGATGTTTTAAATTTTTGTACTAAATTTTTTATTTCACCCCTATTAAAGACTTATTTTAATAGTTATTATATTTATTTTTTGTTTCCTAAAACATCATTTTCTAAATAATAAATGTTCTAAAAATTATATTTTGATATAATCTCTCCAGTACACATGCTCTCTCTTTCATTAATTTTCTTTGTCATAATAATTTTTTAAATTTTTTTCTTATACTCTTTCTCCCTATAAATAAAGGTATTTTGAACAAAATTTTTTAATTTTTTACACATTTATTGTGCTTGATTAATTTTAACTAACTTTTTTATCTATATGATTTAGTCTAAAGTTGCTTATAAAAAAATAAAGAGAGTAGTTTGGTTGGCGTGATTTGAAATTTGAGCCTAAATTTGTCCTTAGAATTGTGTGATGTTATATATTTTAATTAAAAGGGAAAATATGTAAATCTCAATCATGGAAGGTAGGGGAGAAGTTAGTTAATGAGGTGGACCTGAATTGACAAGCTGGGGTAAGTGGAGCAAGTTGAGAAAGAAAAGCTTCTAGAATTCTTGGTTATTAGTAGCAAACAAATATTGAAAATAATTAGTGAATTGGACACAGAGTAGCGAGTTCGAAGACCATTCACACCTAAACAAAATTCAAAAGGAATCAACAATTTATTAATTAAAGATAATGGTCATAAAATTGAGTGAATTTTTGTGAACCTACTTGTACCAAACTTATCTGGGGTCACTAAAATCTCTCCTTTGGTTCGCCACAGACCTTTTATTATTATTATTATTATTATTATTGGCCACAGCCTTTAGCTTTCCATGGATTTCACAATTCTTCTTCTTGTCCTTTGAGGTCACTTTCTATTCCTTCCAAGTTCCGTTTTCAGTTATTAATGTGATTAAATGTTTTGATGGTTTAAATGTGATTTCATTAAACCTGATATTGTTATCACTCTCTCCCATCCTAAATATAGAAGTTAGTTGGGGTAGTTACTTTGATTTTAATCAATTTTATCTTCTAAGTTTATAATTTTTTCCCAAACTATCTTTATATTGACTGCATATATGAGAGGGAGTTTTCATTAATGGAGTAATGATGAAAAGGGATTTTTTAAAGAAACCAATATACATTTAAATATTCATAAATTAATTATTCAGTTTCTATATTTAGATTCAGATCAAATGTTATTTAAGTAAAGGTTAATTAAGTACATACTATGGCTTGATCATGCAAAGGTTATTAAAAATGTTAAAAAGGAGAAAATGTCTCACTAGTTGTAGATATAGAAGCTGATGAACTTGTCGGAATGCGAGGTGATCCCAATAGAAGTCAAGGTAGATTTGAGCAGAACTGAAAAATTTAGAAGAGACTTGGAATGATTGAAACAGATTGAAAAACGGGTTGCATACTTGCATTAGAGAAGCCAAAATACGAAAAAAAAAAAAATAGGAAAATCAAATTTATGATCAACGACAACAATCACATTGTTAATATACTTTAATTGGATAATTAATAAATAAAAAATTCCTATGTTATACCAATAAAATGAAGAGAGAATCCCATAAAAAAGTTCAAAATTGCTAAATTCTAAGCAAAGAACTCTTACAAAAATGTGTTATTATTACATATCAAATGTTGTCAAAACCTATTAAAGTGTGAGAACCAAACCTAATTTAAGATTTAGTAATTTTAAACTTTTTTTGTAGTATTCTTTTAATAATAAATCATGATAGACCAAATTTATCTGTTCATTTGTCTTCTTTCTTTTTTTTTTGCCGATAGGTTTTTTAGCAGAAACTTAAATTTGTTTTGTTTCTCTAATTTTAAAATCTAATGATATAGTTAAGTGAGAAATGCTCCATAGCCTTTAGACATGGTCGAAAGCTTAAATTGTTGATAGGAAGAAAGGCACGCTATGAAATCTAGATGCTAGCTCCATAGCCTTTAATGTGTTTTTCTTGTGTTATCAAGCTGATTGAATACTCTAATACTAGATGCTACTGCCTATTTAAGACCCAATAATGCCCTATTTTTATACTGCATAGTTGTAGATATTTAATTTTAAAGTGATTTAAATAATACCAATAGAGTTGACGTAATAGAAAGAACAACCCCTTCACAACATAACACAGCAAACTGAAATTTGGTTATGATCCAGAGAGATACCTATATATAAACTACCTACAGTTCTTAATATAAGATTTTATTTGATTTTTATTTTAGTCCTAAATATGATATTTAAATCCACTTTATCTCTCATATTTATGTATTTTTTCTCAAAGTAGTCTTTCTAGTAATGATAGTTTTAGCCAATATACTTGATTAATAAGGATATTTAGGAAAGATAACATATATTTATTTCAAATAACTAACTTAACTTCTTTCCTTAATCTTTTCAAATTAATCAACTAGCTCTTATAATTAGGACCGAAGGTAGTATATATATGCAGCACCTCAATATATCTCAAATTAATTTCAACTATTAAAGTTACTACTAATAAACTTTACAAACATATCAAACAAATCACAAGGAAAATATTACCAAAGCAGGGTAGGAATATTTTTTTTTTTATTGAATTTAATAATAAACCTCATAAAATTTGGTGATAATGTGAGATTAAATTTGTATATATATTAAAAATATGGAAATTTGTCACAAAAAAGTGGAGGGAGAGACCCGAAAAGTAGAGCTACCTACCAAATCCGGCACTAACTCAAATTGTAACCGCTCGTCTTCCTCACCAACTCGGTCAAACCCACAAACACACAGAAACATGACATTCTCTCTCCCTCTCTCTGATAGAAAAGTGGTCCCGAGTCAATAGCACCTCTTGCTTCCTTCCTTCATTGTTGCCTTCCCACCACCACCACCTCCCATTTATATTCCTCTCTCCCTCCTTTTCTTCTCTTGTCCCCCCATTTTCTCTCCTACTTTCCCCCCCACTTTCCCTCACCTTCTCTCTTACCAAACACCCCCCAACCAGCCATGGGCAGATCTCCCTGCTGCGAAAAACAACACACTAACAAAGGCGCTTGGACCAAAGAAGAAGACCAACGCCTCATCAACTACATCACCCTCCACGGCCAAGGCTCCTGGCGATCCCTTCCCAAAGCTGCCGGTACCCTATTCTCTCTCTCTCTTTTCCTCCTCCTTCTCTCTCTCTCTCTATATATATGTATCTATGTATCTATATAGGCTGTTTGGTCATGATTCACGTATCTTTCATTCGAGTCTTACATGGATAAATATATGTGTGTGTTTGTGTAGGTTTGCTGAGATGTGGGAAAAGTTGCAGACTCAGATGGATTAATTATCTGAGACCTGATCTCAAGAGAGGCAATTTTACCCAAGAGGAGGATGACCTTATCATTAATCTTCACAGCTTACTCGGCAACAAGTATATACGCCTAATCCTTTCTCCTTCTTTGATTTCTTTTTCCCTCCCATCTGTTTCAATTTTCATCCAAAAACCCCCCATCAGAATCCAGTACTGCGAATCTATATGTGGTGATCAGTTGCTGCTTTTCGAAGTGACAAAAGTGATTTTATTCATACTTTCCATCTCTTGTATATATCGGCATCTTGTTCTTCCATCATATCCTATTTCAAATTCTGACATGGGGTTGATTTTGATCTCTATTCCCCCCCCCCCTCTCCTTTTTAACGTTTTTCTCATCGGTTTCTTTTCTTTTGCGAATTTCTAGGTGGTCTCTCATAGCAGCTAGGTTACCGGGTCGAACCGATAACGAGATCAAGAACTACTGGAACACCCACATCAAGCGCAAGCTCTACAGCCTGGGAATAGACCCTCAAACTCACCGTCCACTTACGGCCACCACCACAGCAACCGTCGCCGCCGCCACAGCACCGAGAGCTACCACCCCGGCGATCAGCGGTAACAAGAGAAGTAGCTGCAGCAGCCAAAACAACCCTAAAGTTAAGCTAGTCTCATCAGGAGAAGATTCAACTAGCAATAGCAGCAGTGGGATTACCACAGACGAATCAGCAAGTTCTGATAATCATCATCATCATCATCATGATCATGAACTCAACTTGGAGCTCTCCATAGCTCTTCCTTCTTCCTCTAACAACAACAAAACCCTCGTCGTTCGCCCCTCCTCCGTCTCGGACAGCTTAAAACGACAACGACGTGATGAAGTGTGTCTGTGTTACATAGGGTTTCAGAGCATTGGTGGTAATAATCAAGCGTGTAGGTGCAAAGCCTTGATGATGGATGCTTGTTCAGTAATTACTACTGCACCTACTTCTTCTACCGATGCTGCTACTTCATCAGACAATAACGTTTACAGATTTTTCACTCCCTTGAATTCTTAGACACTGCTAGCTAGTCTAAGTATATATAGCAGAAAATTCCCAAAGCTAATGATAATTACTTACTGTAATGTTTTAGTTATGTTTTGTTAGAAACATGCAACTACATAATGGAAATAGCCTTATCATGCACTCACTTATCTCCTAACTCTTGCCCTTGTCGCTTCAAAGTTCAACTGTTAGATTTTGTATGTCATCTTTTTCTTTTTCTTACTTTTTCCTCATTGTTTTAAGAATATAGGCATTTATAGCATAGATTAGCTACCAAATGATTAAGAATTATCATCATTTAATCCTCTGTATGCGGGCGCTCGCACATATATCCCACCCACCACCTGTTTCGGTTAAGAATGTTGAATTACTATAAAGTATAAACCCATATGTAGCACTCCTCTGATTCTAAATATAAGATCTATTTTACAATGCAATTTATATTTAGGACTGGAGGAGTAGTAACTAATTATAATTAAATTGTAATTCATATTACACCCTCGATCTTCTTCTGTCCTTAACATATAAGATTTAATTATTGAGTTGATCTTAGTTTATTTTTTATATTTATCAATTTTTTTAAATTACTCCTATTAATACTCTCTCAGCTACAATCAAGTAGAAGAGGAAAGGAGAATATTGAGAAAAATAATTATAGTGTTTTAAAAAATAAAAACATGTCATATTTTCTACCATTAACTAACTTATCTAATTTTCTTAATTTAATAAAATTAGTTTAATAGATTTTGCATTAAGGACTAGAGGAGTGATATTTTGATTTTGATGAAGAGAATATTTAATTTCAATATTTTCATAATGTTTTACGAGATAAATACGAGAGAATTTTTTCTCGTAGAATACCAAAAAAAGTGAAACCAAGCTATTACTAACTCTTAAATATTCTTTCTTTTGCTATTTATATCTATATGTGTTGATATATGATTTACGATAAAACTTTGAACTTTTTTTGTGTGATGGGCATAGTATTTATCGGAGAATAATTTTAATAAGTTCAAGCTAAGAAGCTGCTCCTCCGATCCTTAATATAAGATCCATTTAATTAATTTGATTAGATTAAGAAAGTTAGGTAAGTTAGTTAATTATAAGAAAGTGACACATTTTTTCTAAAACACCATAATCATTTTTCTTAATACCCTCTTTCTCTTTTTTACTTGATTATGGTTGAGGGAGTATCCATAGGGGTAATTTAGAAAAAATTGATAAATATGATAAATGAGTCTTATATTTATGACCAAAATTAACTCAAAAATTGAGTCATATATTAAGAACCAGAAGAGTATATATCTATAGTACATGTATTCTCGCTGGCGCAAAAAATAAAAATAAAAATAAATGTATTCGGAGGGAGCATTAACTGGTCATGCATGTAGGAGAGAGTTGAATTAAATTTAAGGATAAATAATATACTGACTAAGTCACTTGTAACTAATTTATATATATAGCAATAAAATTATTCAAAAATACTAAATTTGCCATGAAATTTAAACAATTTTTAATATTACTCATATTATAACTACACTAAACTCTATTATTCTTTTTATTTTCTTACTTTTTCATTACTCTCATTAAATATAGACACTAATGAATGGGGAAAAAAAAAAACTTGATATCTCACGAAAAGGGAATAAAAACACTCCCTAGAAAGGATTAACATAGTACTTTGTACAGCTATGACACGAATTTGAATGCAGAAACCTACCATTTCTTGTCAGAGGAAGAAGACAAGTGAAAAATGAAAGGAACAGAAGACTGTATGATAATACATATATATATATATATATATATATCTGATGGTGAATGACCTTTCACCATTTAAAAATCACCATCTGCCCACCAACTCTCTGACCTTTCTTCTTTTTTTACTACAAATTTACCTTATAGAGTCATAGACTGAATAATTATGCGTCAATGTTTTGAAATTATCCTAATCATTCTCACCACAAACAAAAAGTAAACCAATTATAGATTCTTTCGTCCTTTGTTTTGTCTTTTTTCTTAAAATACGTAATTATAAAGAGCTTAAACTATTTTGCCTTCACCGTTTAAGTGATCAAATTAACGTTGTAGTAATATAATTAACCGGTGATAATTAAGGAATGTTGTAGATATAATTAAGTGCAGTCAAAGGCAAACATTAAAGGTAAGAAACATATGAAAACAGAGTGTTAATTTTACATATTTGGGAGACTATTAACTATTATATATGGAGAGGGATTTGTCGAGAAGTCGCTAATTCATTGCCAAATTAATTAATATAATGGGAAATTATATTTCTCTAATTTTAATTTGTGAAGTTGGTGGAAAATGCTGTAATTTGATATAGATAACGGAACATTCTTAATCAAATGAAGGAAATCAAAATTGGGAGGTCAACGACTACTTAACTAACTAAATATATAACGTCAGACTGAGAGATTACTTGAATCGGAAAAAAATCAAATGTGTGAATAGAGAAAAAACCTGGAAAGAGACCCAACAGAAACAAAGAAAGTCTCAGAGAAGATAAGAGAAGAAGCGTATGGGTTTGAAGTTTTCTCATCATCATCTAGAAGGAAAAAGATTGATTGTTGATGATGATAATAATAATAATATGATCAGTTTCATCATTCAAAAGGGCAAGTAACTATTACTAATTAATTACTCAACAACTTCATGTTTATACATAAGAAATTCTGTTAAAATTAATTACTTAATGCTTCGAAATTTTTAAAAAAATTACTCATAAATTAGAGAAGATTGTTTAGTTAATTACGCGTTGTATAGTAAAAAAGGTTATTATTTGTAAAGGATGTTATATTAAGAAATATAACCACAAAAAAAGGGTTTTGATTTTATGATAAAGAAATTCCGTTAAAATTAATTGCTTAATGTTTCGAAAATTTTAAAAAAATTACTCATAAGTCAGAGAAGATTGTTTAGTTAATTAACAAATTACGTTTCAGTTTACATCAACTTATTTTAAGTTATTTCGTGTTGTATAGTTAAAAAAGTGATTATTCGTAAAGGATGTTACATTAAGAAATATAACCATAAAAAAGGGGGAATTTGATTAACGATAAAGATCAGAGAGAATAATATGGGGCATGATATATGAAATCAAAGATAGGATTAGAAAATCTGAAAATGGGATAAAAAAAGATAGAGTTGGGATGGATACAAAGGAGAGGAGGTTCTCGTAAGAAATTCAATGGTAGAGAGGTGACAAGTTGTTAAGAGCCAGTGGATGAGAATAAAGATTAAGAGAAAAAGAAAAGGGTAAACGGATAACCAGAATAATCCAAATTAAATTAGAGGCAGAAAAAAAGAGAGAAATACGGATGAATAGGGAAAAGCAAAAGAGGAGAGAGAGTGGGGGATGGTTTGGTGGGGAGGAGGATGAAGTGGGACCCAGTTTGCCATTCCTAACGTAAGGATGAGGAGGAAGAACATCAAAATGAATGCAAAGAAATTAGGAATATCAACGAAACGATTCATTCGTTTAGGTTTGGGGTTTGGTAGATACGAGGCCCTGACGTCACAACCCACCTACCTTTTTTCTCTGCCCTATTTTTAACAAATTTTAAATACCACACAACAATGGTATCAAGTTAAAATAACATATATAATGCAATAAAATACATAAAAACATCTTTAATGTTCATTCTCACCCCACTTATATATCAAAATCAACACCATTTTGATTAAGCTAATCATTTGTAAAAAAAAAATACATGTAGTTTTCTAAAATACTTTCCTTGATCATTTGCATGAAAAACTACTCTCTTGATGAGAATTTTTTTATACGTGCAATTAACTGAGAGAGCATGAGTAAAAAAATGAATTAGAGTTTTATATATATGACTAAAATAAATGTCTCTTCTGACTCTTACGTTTAAGATCGGCAGAAGTAATAATAATGTTTGTTATATCATTATATTAGAAGATTGTCATGTTTGATTGTAAAAAGAATTGAATTCTGTCTTATTTATAAGACAGAGAGAATGATTTTTTTTATTCTATTTATAAATTATTTTGTTAAATTTTTAGGATGAATGTACTATTTTGTTTATCATTTATTATAGTATAGATTTTTTTCAAAAAATATATTAAATAAGGATAAAATTAAAAATTTATATTTTAACAAAAAATTAATACAATTTAAAATTTTTCTTAATATGTATAAACATGCCAGAAGTTTCTTCCAAGAGAGAAGTACCTGCTAAGATGGAAATTTGTGAATAAAATAATTTGATATTGTGCGTGAGGGAAAAAGAGAGGTGAGTGTGATTCTAGAAGGAGTAGGTAATATGGTGGAAAGAGGGAAAGAGGCATATGGGAGGCGATGAAAATGAGAGCATATATCATATATGATCAAATGAGACGCACTCTTTACTTGACTTGCCTCCCTACCTAATTCCCCTCTCTCTCATTTTCACTTTCACTTTCACTTTCACTCTCTCTCTCTCTCTCTCTCTCTCTCTCTCTCTCTCCCATTATTGCTTGTGCACCTTCCCCTCTCCCACTGCATTATTATTATTTGGTCGTCCTGATGCTCAGACTTCAACGTGTATCCCCCAACATATTCACTCATCCATCAAATACTACCTTTATTATTATTATTATTATTATTATTATTATTATTATTATTATTATTATTATTTAATTTCTATCTTTCAAACTTCAACTCTCCAGCTCTCTCATCATTCTTCTTCACCATCCATTCATCGCCTCAATTAAGTTGATGAATCTGCACCACTCTTTCCGTAACATGACCTATTTATTATTCTTGCTCTCTCTTTTCTATTTCATGCCTTCCTTTCCTTTCAAGTTTTCTCCCATGCCATGTGCATCTATATATATATATATATATATATATATATATATCACCTATTCAAGCAACTTCATGTAAACTTACTACTTTCATATTCTAAATTTGGAATGTTTCCCAAAATATTAATATCCATCTCCAATTCTTTTTATAAGCTACAACTAACTATTTTACATAAGCTAAGAAATTTAGTTGAAATTAGTTATTTCTTATAAGATATTAAAAATACTCTTAATAAAAATGTCTCCTTCCGGTCCAGAATATAGAAACTAACAAATAAATAATTTGTAGATATTAAGGAAGTTAAGTAAATTGATTATTTGTAACAAATACATGTTAGTTTTTTTTAAATTAATCTCTTTATTATCTTTGATCATACCTCTCATTGATAGAAACTTCTTTCACAGGGAGAGCTTGAGAAAAACTTATATAGAAGAAAGACAAATTAGATTAAAATCTTATATATACAATATATATATAAATATATTTATAACCAAAGCAAATCGCCAACACACAAATATAATATAAAGATGAATCATATATATGCATAAGATACATGCATTTTCAATTTTTATATCTATCTTCTAACATTTTATATTTATTATCTAGAGCTATAGAAGTAATCATCACAATAATTGTTAGAGAATTAAAATTTTTGAGTCAGCAGATAAAGTAAATAAAAAATTAATTAAACTCAAAGTCATATAGGTGATTGATCAGGCTGATAAATCAGACAGAAATTTCCATCGAAGTTTAATACGAAACTGGTAGCGCAATTGATAAATCTTTAAATTAATCACAAAATATGAAAAGAATGAGAGATTTTTAAAGAGCTATGAATATAGATATTTAAGAAAATTAAGATTAACTCCCAACATGATTTCAGAGGCAATCAAGGGCGCACGCTATTAATTATATAAGACCTATATGGGTCAAACCGTTGACCTTTCATTTTTCCTGTCCTCTTCATCGCACCTAATGAACATGTGTCATTAACCCACCCTTTGACTAAATTATTAACACACACATACACACAAGAGAAAGGCACCAAATTCTTCCTTCTCAAAGTGGACCATTGCTTTTGTTTATACAAATAAGAAACATGCGTAAAAGAAAAGACTTGGCATATTCTTAATATATGGACACTCTCACCAATATCTAATATAAAAATTAATTGGGATCGGATTTGATTTTAAATGTAGAATATCAATTCATTTTATCTTTTATATTTATTATTTTTTTAAATTAATTTACCTAGCTTATAAACTCATACATAATCTAATATTATATATGAGTGTTTTAAAAAGATCACATCAGATTTGTTATTATTAACTAATTTATTTAACTCTCTTAATCTACCCAAATTAGTTAAACATTCTTATATTAAAAGTAAAAAGGAATATATATATATATCTCCCACCTATATATTGCCAACGTTATATAATACTACCTCCGGTTCTAATTATAAAATATTGTTTATATAAACAAAGTCTTATAATTAGGACCGGATGTGGTAATAATGATAGTAGTTTGGTCCTAACTCGCAAGATTAAATTCGTTTAGTTTTATAATTTATGTATTTTATAAACTGAAGGAATGTGATGCGCCATAAGCATATTGAAAAAGGAGGTGAATCCGATGCTTGCAAGCATTAAACACCAACCCTTTCTGTCTAATACTGATTCCTAAAACCAACGACGCTAATGCGTAATCATGTGATGCCCGTTACAGTCACATATATTCACATGTTCGATTCCGATTTTGACCAACATCTAATGGAATCAATTTAACCAACTTTGTAGCGTATAATTATTGTATTTTGAATTATGGTTCTTTTAAGGTTTGCGAAAGATGTGCTCTAAATTGAGCTGTTATAAATTTCATATTTTAGAGTAGTACTGGTCCTTAATATAAGAACTAAATAATTAATTTGCGAATATTAAGAAAACAAGAAGATGATAGAAAAATACCTGTTGATTTATAAAAAGACAAATAGATTGTATTGACTACTCTTATCATAGTTTTTATTACTCAAAATATGTCAAAATCATGTATTTATCATTTTGAAATTCAACAAGTATTTTTTTATCATTTTTGGTAAGAAAAAAAAGTAGTAAGTTAGGTATTTGTAATAAATAGATGCTATCTATCCTAAAAGATCATTGTCAGTTAATTATTATTTTAATAAACATGTTTTTTTTTTTTGAGTCACCAGTCTAGTAACTTGTATAGGTGAGTGAACCGGTTTCTGTCCTGGTTGTAATTTGTTTTATAATTAAAAATTGGTTCACGTTTTACACATAAGGATATAGCTCTGATTGATAATTTCAACAATCAAGCATTTGAAAATTATCTAACATTTATTCAATTTCTTACTCTTTGCGTCTTTTGGAATTCTTCATCCGCACGTTAATTCCTTCTAAAATTCTTGTTTAGGAAATTATGAGTGTAACTTGTGCAAAGTAGAAGTTTTGACGAAAGCACCAAATCTATGGGCTCCCATGGACTGCATCATAGGAAAATATTACTGCTGCAAATAGAAAGATGTACTTTAAAAAAAATTTTGAGAGCTACAAACACCATCAATTTTCACATTTATTTAATTGAACTTTAATTAATATTAAATTAGAGTTTGAATACCCATAAAAATGTCCAAATTGTAATTATAAATTGCCTAATCAATCTAAATAACAGGGTGTAGATCAGATTTCAGTAATAGTTGATATTTGAGTATAATTAATCATTTATTCTACATATTAGATTTTAAGCTAAATGCTAATAAATACTTTTTTGAACTACATATTAGAAACGCGTAACTAAACTTATAAACTACAACAAATCCATTCAATTCCCCCGCAAGTCAATTAATAACCCGAAAAACAATTAGTGAGATAATTAGATGATTATAATCAATATTATCAATATTGAATTGATTTCTTTTCTTCTTGTTTTTGGCCAAAATAAGAGCAGAAACGAATATAGGGAAACCATATTGAAGGTACTTTACTTTCTTTCAATTTTAATTTGGTACCTATGTGCTTTTTTTCCTTTTAATTAACATTTAATTTTATCTTTTTAGCAACATTAGCTCTTATAACTTTGTTCTATTGATATTTTTAGTCTCTACATAAGGATTAATGATGTTAATAGAACAAAATTAAAGATTTAGTTAAAAAAAAAAAAACATAGGTACCAAATGAAAATTGACCAAAAGTATAAGTACCTCCAATATGGTTTTCCAAGAATATAACAAACATGAAGGCAATATGTACCACTAACGATTCTAATATCTTCACAAAGGACAATAATATACTAAATTATTAAAATATCTCTAAATTAACAGCATTAGTCTCGGGAGGCATTCAGGTAAAACCAAATTTTGATTTTAAGTATATGAAAAAAATTTTATTTCGATTTATATAACCAAGCACCCCCTTAACGGAACCAACTGAAACCATTCAAACATGATTTCATTTAATGTTAATATTTAACAATTGAATATTTAATAAATATGACACGTAATCAATCAAGAGATATACCGGTTCATTGATGCATTATGCTCTAACATCCACATAAAGCACCACAAATATATTACCGGGCTAGCGAAGATAAAAGTAACTTTTATTTTAATTGAATTTTGCAAACTGAAATTGAGATAAAAACCAATTAGCATAATGTGATTTATATTTAAACAGACTTCTGCAGAAAAATCAGCTTGAAAGAAACTTATTTGTATAATAAAAAACAGGTTCAAGAAGACTCAAATATGAAGAAAAATAAAAAATTAGAAGAAAAAAAATTGTTTCAATTTTAAATGACTTTTGAGCAAAAAGCAAGTTACAAACGTCAAATCTAAACACGAGCAAAGGACCTAAATGAGCTTTTAGGAGCCAAAAGTCAGGCTGGCATAACGTGATAAAGTCAGAAATCTAACGAAGAAAAATATTTACATTTAGGCATGAGAACCTTTAGTGGGTCGACACACATGATTTCGTTTGCGAGCATGCTCTTCACTGCGGTGCTGAGTCCGACATGCATATCCATACCAGCAATCTTCCCTCCTTGCTGCTTCTGCTGGCAGAAACTTTTTTTTTTGCCGTACATATCACCCCCACCATCAATAAGAAGGGGTTAGTTTCTCTATCACTTCACCCCAGCAAGAAAAAATAACACAGACAACATGATAAATGAATCACTATTGGGAAAATTAATCTTTTGATCCCTATAACTTTGATCTGATTATAGCTTAATTCTTAAACTTCAACTCGGTGCGATTCAATACATACAGTTCTGACTAAATTGAAACTAGAAATAACTCATCGTGATGTAGTTCTTATAGTTCTGACTATTTAAAACTTTAGTCCCTAGGCTTTATGAGATATATAACTTTATTTTAGGAACTGATATTTTAAATGGTTAAATTATAAGAACTGAGTTGTATTGAGTCAAAAGTATAAGAATAAAAAGATTAATTTTCCCATCGTTATTTCTATTTGGTCAGTGCTTCTCTCTTCCTAATACATGTCACAACGCTAAAAAGGTCAGCAGCAAATAATCCTACCAGATTCAGACTCTGGTGATTGGCATGATGCTTGAGTTGATGAGAGTGATACTTACATGTTTCGGCAGTGAAATTCGAAACCAGTACAAAAGAAACGAAACCAACTTCTCATAACACTCACTGCATGATTACAAAAAGGTCGTGTGAATATTGGAGCAACCAAGGGTGCCAAAATTATCAAGTAAAGAATGATAAGACAAGTCAAAGTACCAAATAAGTTCACGGCCTCACAGAAGCTTCCAGTGTAAAAGTATTACATGAAAGGAACGAAAATTAATTCTAAATGGGTTTATATCCATTCTCCCCAAGCTAGAATCCACATCAACAATCCTAAATTCAACCCGTCTCAACCTTGAAGTCCCAATGAGAAACCAGAAATTAGCTTAAAAACCTAGGACTTGTTTGATCTATTCTCTATTTTTATGTTTTTAGAACAAGTATGTACAATACGTCTTTAGAAGAAGTTTTGGAAAACAAAAATAAAAAATCTGTTTGAATCATTATTTTGAAAAACACATCTAAAATGGTGAAATGAAGGTGAAAGAATAGATTGCTTTATTAGTATGATTGCCAATAATGAAAATACAATGTTCTCTGCCTACTCTAATTTTATAGGACAAAAAGTAGCAAAACATCAAAAAGATGTTATGACATTTTTTTTTCTTTCAAAACACGACCAAAAACACATTTCCAAACTTTTTTGTTTGGTTTTTCAAAATAAAAAACTGTCTTGAAAACAGAAAACTTCCCAATAGTAGAAATTGCTATCACTTGATTAGGCAAAAAGTTTTGACATGACAACATTGCAGAACTACAAAGTAAAAGCTTTTTCAGTAGTGAATTACACAACTGGGGGCGAGCAAAAGGTGGATGTTACAAAAACTGCATATTATTTTCTAAAATTGTCTACATGGTCTCTAGATTCTTGAATAAAGAAAAGCACAAATAACTCGACGTCTGCTGCCATGCTCCTAGAAGCGTCAGGGGGGGGGGGGAACTCAAGTTTAGAGCTTTCAATACTAGTGAAGGGAAGTAGGCAATAAAAATTAATACCTTGACCTAATTCAAACACCATTGCATATTACTGTTGTTGAAAGTAAATCCTAAAGGCCCTATAGAATACCCATTACCTTCTCACTCTTGCAAAATAAAAATAGACAGAAACAGCTCAAAACGGTACTTCACAGCAGCAGGCGCACATCCTCAAACAACAATGGTATTCAGTAGTAACTAGTATAGTCAAATATACAGCATTAGCCTCACGTTCTATCCTTCAGTAGCTACTCGCATGTTATGCACATATAGTTTACATAGAATGGTTTAAGACCTACCCTTAATATGGTTCAAAATGATAGGACTTGACCTTATAAATATCTGCATAAATCCACTTTAAACTGAGTAGGAAGCTTACCGGCATACAAGTGTCCTTGAATTTATCATCTCAGAGTGATTCAGTGGCAACATCGTTCTATCTGACAAGAACATAATATTATCTCTAATTTAGATGACTCTACATGTGAACAAACTAATGTAGCGGAGAAAAGAACCAAGCAGAATATGAAGGAAAAGACGTTATATGATTGAGCATAATAAGTTAAACAGGAAAGTTTAAAACCCCCAAATGCACATCTGATAAACTGTTGGTCAATTATATCACTACCAATTTCTCTGTTGTTCAGCTTCGCTATCCACTCAGCAATAACATCCTGCAATGTCCTCCCCATTTGTCCAATACAACTCTCTGTAATCTAGCAAATCACGAAGATAAAAATTATATTAAAAAGTAATCAGTTAAAAGTCTAAAATTGACAATGATCATCATTTGGGACCATTAAATGCATACATTCTGTTCATGTAAATTCTTTTCATGTGCTGCAACAGGGATTCTTGAGATATTATGTTCTATAATCTGCAAAGCAAAAACAAGGTACATGATATTCTAGATTCAATGATCATATCAGCTCCACAGCCTTAGTTCCTAGACATCAATAACGAAGCAGAAAAATATTGTATTGCCCCACTAGATGGAAGGTGTAAGTTGGAAATAAATCCACCCGGTGAAGACACCAATTATGAAAAGATTAAAATCTATGCTCTTTCCCGTATGACTATGCACAATAAATGGTTCAAAGTAATCCATACAGGTTTTAAAGTATCCTGGCTGCAAACAGGGTAAGAGTCACTCCTGGTTATCCCTAAAGCAAGCCAGTATGCTCCACAAAATGCTCTGTCACACCCTGAACCTGCAAGGAAAGAAAGTTGAAAATCTTTGGCAAGTCAAATTGTTGAGAAATTGGACCTCGTTACAAAGGACCAAACAAGATGGAAAATACAGGTCCAATCTGTTTAATTATTATTATCCAAATGTCCTGCAGTGAGTTTTAGTTCATCTCCAAACCCAATAAATTGATAAGCACTTTTTTAGTGAAGCTAGTATGAAGTCTACAAGCTCGTCTTACAAACAGAAATATTTTCACCAACACTCTGGAATCAATTATATGAAAACCTGAATAAATAAATCAATAATTTCTTGCACCACATTTAAGTCACTATAAATTAGAACTCACAATATTGAGCAACGCCAAAACCATTACGGGAAGGCATCATTCCTCCACAAGCTTGACATTGAATATGAACAGTATTTGGGTTGCATTGAAACTCACCAACTTCAGCGACTGAATATTATAATAAACTCAATAAGCTTCAGAAATGAAGTAAAAAGATCACAAATCAGGAAATTTTCCCCTCCTCTTGTTAAATTATGAAATTAACCAAGAAAGTCAGAATAATGAGCATAAATGTAGACAAACAGGGGTGGGATAAATGTAAAAATCCTTCCCTAGTCTAGGCAGAAAGAAAAGGGATAAGGAAATGACAGGAAATAGAAAAAAGTATTAAATGGGGGGAAAAAATATCATGCTGCACAAATGGTATTGTCCTGGGGTATTCCATATGTGATATTATATGACAGTTATATTACCACACTGTGGGCATTGAAGGTTTGTGTCATCACTTTGATCATCCAATGGTGAGTAAGCCCTCTTTCGACGACGTTTATTTCGAGGTCCAATGACCTAACCAAATATGATTTCAAATTATTAATCATCAATGTAAGATCATGAAATCCAACTAAATTCATGGTGGCAAACAATGTTTCAAAACCGAAAGGGGTCTGATTGCTTTTAGCTTGAGCCTTAAGTCAGGGAAAGCCCCATTATCTGGCCAACACTTTCTTTTTTGCCAATGGCCAATAATAACATTACTTACAATTAAACGCCCTGCCAAAAAAGATTGCATGACATGGGCATGATATTATACAGTTAGACACAAGAACAGAAACTAAATATCAAGTTCATTCCTGTTTTAAAGACCAAGTACAGCTAGCCAAGCAATGCAAAAAACTAGAGATGGATGACAATTCTACATTATCAATCATCTTGTGTGCTAGGCAGGAATTAAAATATTCATTTAACATGGCATGTCCAATGAGACAAATAAATTGTTAATAGCATATTGCCTTTTCAAAAAGGCAGCATACTACTTCAACACATGATACCAGTCTCCTTGCCATGTAAGCTCAATCATAGTACTTAAGTTCAGGGTATACATTTAAAACAAAAGGAAAGTAGATCATCTTACAAGATTTGATCGTATTGATGAATACGAATCTAACAGTGCAACTTCTTCATCTGAGCGTCTGAGGGAAGAATCAGCTCTTAGTATATCCTATCCAAAAGTGGGGAAAATGACAGAAAGACAGAAGAAAAGGAATAGATCAAAATAAGAGGACCAACACACTCTGATATAAAAAGACATAATTAAAATGAACAAGAGTTTCAGCAAAACAGCTGAATGTAGCATATGCCAGTACAGAGAGGGAGTAGTCAAATTTTATCTATCATGCCCATCATATCATCTTAATGTCAACTTACTGATTAAAATCAGATCAGGTTTTATAAGAATGTGTTAGAACAAGAAACTATGCTCTAATACAAGTATATCAAATCTCAACCTAGGAGACAGTACAATGGCAGCATCACCTAAAAACTCAAGAACAGAGGTAAAGCCAGTATGGATTGATCAATATAGGATCAAGCTAGGTATCACAATAACTCACCTTCAAAAGCCAGTACAAATATCAACACCAACAATTAGATAACAGGGCATAAACCTAATTTTATGTGTCAAACGGTCTGAATCAAATTCCCCTCCCATCCACAATATCGCAATTACATCCCTATTTTGCAGATATTCATGTAGACAACCCGTACTTGCTTAACCATATCTGGTCTAGATAAGTTAGTTTCCATCAGATACTTCTGCATAAAATTACCTCTGCAATGTTTCGTAGAAAATGGTTTTTGCCAACAAATTGTACGACTGCTCTACAGTGAGGACAGAGTACAGTTGAATGTTTTTCTTGTGACCTTCTTAACCACTCTGAGAAGCAACCGTTGCTGAAATGCCAGATTGCAGTTCAAGCAGACGTCAGTGACATGAAAGGGGAGATCTCAAAAGATGAACAGGATAAGAAGCACACCAAAAATTATGTAGGCATGGAGCAACAGTGACTACATCATGCCATACGTTTAAGCAGATGCTGCATTTTACATTGTCAACATCCACATGTATCTGCAAAATCAAACATGGTCATTAACACTGCTCTGCCACAGATGGGAATGGTAATGAGGAATGCATTGAAAGAAGCAGGGAAAACAGTTATCAACCTTTAGCTGCCTTTGGCTGGTTTCTGCGCTAGACACGATATTAAATTTATAGCTGACAAACCCTAATAGCATTAAGAGAGAGAGAAAACTGATGTAATTAAAAACCAGTCAAGACATTTTAAAAAATGGCACCAGAGACTGAATGGTTAAATTTAGAAACTCATCCAACTCTACGATAAACATAAACCAATTTTCTTTTAGATCAAAAGAACCAAATAGGTATAGGTAAACCCAAGTTTGGTATTTGATGGTGCCAATTACAATTTTTTCCTCATGTTAAAGAGTGATCACTATATAGATGTGTAATCAACTTTTTTCTTTTTTGCATGCAATTTAATTTAGGGTTAAGATCACAACAATTCATTAGCTAAATTTATGCTTCTGTATATTTAAAAGAGAATGTGATGGTCAATGACATGAATTTTTCACTTGATATACCAAAGAAACTCTTCATTAATTCACTATAGCTGCTAAAGGACATCAATTCAAAAGCTATTAAAAATGAAAGATCCATGTCACTCAATTTTGCAAAATCAATTTTCAATGTTATAAGAGAAAAAGTATAACAAGTCAGTTGACCCCATTTGAAAACTTGATATACAACCTTGTTTAACAAGAATCAATAAATAGATTGTAGCCTTGTGCCAATGCTTCTCAATGAAACTAAACATGATTGATTCCAGGAAATAAGAAAAGGAATTGTTACACTAGCAAAGGTCTTAAAAAGAACAACTCGAACCTTCTCTATGAGGACCTGAAATAATTTCACTTCCATCCTTGATAAGAATGGAGTCTTCATTGCAAACCTCAGCCCCATCAACTAGTATAGTATTTTGACTACAGCAAGTTGAATCCAAAAATAAGGAAAGAATTAAAAAAAAACAAAAGATGGAGGAAAACAATCATCACTTGAGAAGTTTTAGGCATTTGTACAACATAACATTTATCTGTTTCAAAGGCAGTTTTAAATGATATCTGTTTGTTACAATGTACAAACAAGGTAGGAACCCACATCCATTGCACCTTCAAGTTTCAAGCGTCATGGTTCCTTGGTCTTATCAATGACGCATTTTTCATAAGGACCGAAACTTGGTGCAATTTTTAAGGTGCATTCATTTTAATGTGTTTGATATCGTGTTTTTCAATAGCACTATGACATGTCCAGGAACTCTTATGAAACAACCTAGTTAACAAACATCTAGGAAAGTGAGCTTAAGTTTTCCCCTTTCAGAAAATCACAGCAGGTATCAGGAGCAGGACTAACACACTACTTAACAGTATTTTGTAGTTGCATGAGTACCTATTGTTTTTAACTGTGGCAGAACATAAATCAGAGTTCCTTATTATTTTGCACCAATTTTGTTTATCACCAGAAGACGTCATCTCAGAACATATTATTTTCTCATCAGACCTTATCTCTACATCTGAATATCTTGAGTCTGATGGAACTGCAAAAGAGACAAGAGTTTGACCGCAATGAGCACCTTTAAAAAGTTTGAAACTTTGAAATAAATCAGTCCCTTTATTTGTTGATATAAAATAGGCAAAGCAAATATGCGTGGATGCTTGTAACTAGCATTTGATTCACGACCGGAAACATTCTCACAAACGCGCATCAAGTATAACAGTCAAATAAAACAGTCAGCCGCATCACTGGCCAAAAATTTATATCCGAGAAACATTCGGAACAAAGTGACAATAGACGACCACGTTTATAGTCTAAACTCCACAGTCTAGCGCTGAAGTATTGGACATTATGGGAATCACATCTAAGTTTAAAGCAGCTCTGAATAAGAAAATAGAATCTTTGCCGCTGTAGCCAATAAATGGAGAAAAAACATTCCTTTTCCAATCCCCCTCCGGTCCCTATAATTTGTAAAGGGTTTCAAGATAATCCGATTCAAGTAAGGGAGATAACCAATTTCGGGGTAGCATATCTGGCTCTGATTTTTACATGCATTGTGTAAACTACCCAAGAAGAAATTCAAATTGTATGCTTACCAAGTTTAGCCCAAATTTCATGTGAGGATTTTGCTACAGAGCATTCTGCCGGCTCCCCCATCAGCATTAGTTTCTTGATCAAAAAAGGCCTTTAGGGCCCAGCACTTCAGAGAGATGAAAGGGGTTTATGAAGACGACACGCTCTTCTAAAACGGTCGAAAGGCGTGCAAGGGAAGAAATTCGATCGCCCCATGGCAAGGCATCATCGCGTCAGCCTCCCCATCTTTTTCCCGGAAAATCATTTATTATTTGTATACTTAAATATTGGGGAAGCAAGCAAGCATCCCTCAAATATGCAAATTTCAATTTAGATCCCAAGATGCCTAACGGAATTTCCAAGGGTTAATTTGAGATTAAATAATAAGGAAAAATTACCTAGATGCTCTAAATTTGAAAAAATACAGTGAAAACAATAGTTTAACACTAACTTTACCTTATCAAATGACGACAAGAATTAAAATAGTGATAATTAATTTAGATATTATTAATATTCATCAACCTAATTGCATGATTTTCGTTGATGACATGGTTCTTATGACAGAATAAAAAAAAAAAGATTAGCTTTAGTTTAGAGTTATGGAGAAGGATTTTAGAGTCAAAAGGTTTTTGTTTGAGCAAATATAAAACAGAATATATGCTTTGTAATTTTGGGAGAGATAAGGTAATGGTGATTTGAAAGTGAAGATGAGGAATCAAATTATTCTTTAAGTATCAAAGTTTAAATACCTATGATCCATTGCGCATGAGGATGGTGAAATTGATGGAAACGTTTCTTATAGAACACAAGATGGCTAGTTAAAGTGAAGAAAGGCTACCGGAGTTATTTGTGATAAAAAGGTACCTGAAAAATTTAAGGGAAAATTTTATCAAACTACTATAAAACCAGTTATGTTGTACGGTAGTAAATATTAGGCAATAAAGAGAAAACAAGAGCACAAAATTGGGGTAGCAGAAATGAGGATGTTGAGATGGATATATGGTCATACAATAACAAATAAGGTTTGAAATGAAAATATTAAAGTAAAAGTCAGCATGGCGCCTATCCAAGAGAAAATTGTTGAATATCACTTAAGGTAGTTGGGATATGTGCAAAGAAGGCATTTGGAGGCCCTGATGAGGAGGGTAAATCAGACAATATGGAGTCCCATAAAAAGAGACAAAGAAAAATCGAAAAGAACACTCAATAAAGTTATTGACCGAGACCTCCTGGTCAACAACATATCTAAGGATTAGGTTGTTGATAGAGCACAATAGCGTCGTGTGATTTATGTAGCCAACCCCACCTAATGGGATAAGACTTTGTTGTTGTTGTATTAATATTCATCAACTTATTTTCCCTTGTCAATATAGAAGTGTTAAATGAAATTAAGAGAATTTATGTTTTTATTTTTCTTATATGAACCTATGGTAATTTTCTCTTTCTTTTTTTTTTTTTAACAATTCTGTTAGGGTATGAATTCATGGGAGGAAAATTTTCATGAAAGACCTATTTGTACTAATATTTTTGAAAAACAGTCAGAGGCTCCTAATTAAAAAATTAATTTCGTAACTGTAAAAATACTTAAAGTATTAATCTTTCGATATAGATGTGACTCTTCTTCAATTGTGTGCGCTACATCTTCAGCTGTGTAAAAACGTCTTACGTTTTACGCACAACTGAAAATATATTATATACAGCTAAAAAGTTCCATCTACGAAAGAAAAATTACAGCTAGATCTTTAAACAAATTTTAGGTACCTATGCACAATTAATTTTTAAATTAAAGACTTTCGACTAATTTTTCTTAATTTATTTTTATTATAAATGACCATGAAATTATAATCGCAATTTTTTTTAAATGATCAACAAATGGTTGGAAAATTTCTAGTTTCAAAGAAAAATGTCTCAAACTAATTGATGAGGACAGAAAAGAAAGGATTTTAAGAAAAAAATTTTATGAAGGTATAATGGGTAGTTGACACCCGCTTAGCCCTTCAAAAGAATAGTAATAATTTTCACTCGTTGTCCTTTATAATAAATAAATGCTAGCTTGATTTGAAATTTTAGTTGGAGAAATTGCAAATAAAGACCCCAATATGTAAAATTGTGATTTGGGACCTTAATTTAGAAAATAGCAAGTAAGGGCCCGGTTTTATTTTTGCAAATATGAAATCGTGGTGAAACGTCTGAAATATTTCTCAGCCAAATGACAAATTAATTATAGAAAATGACAAGTTGACTTTAGCGAATGACAATTTCAGTAGACCAAATCACAACTCGCTTGGAAGTATACTAAATGACAAGTTGATTATAAGAAATGACAAGTTCATTTTAGTAAATAACAACTTCAGTAGACCAAATCACAATTTGACTGAAAAGTGTTTCAAACATTTCACCCACATTTCATATTTATAAAAGTAGAACCCGGTCTTTAATTGCTATTTTTCGAGTTTAGGATTCCAAATCACAATTTTACATATTAGAGAGTCTTTATTTGTAATTTCCATTTTACTTCCCCTTTTTACTTAAATCTTTTTATCTTTTTTAATAAACGAAAAACGTTTTTTAAAATTAAAGGTGAGTTTGAACATAAAACCGAAAAAAACAGAGAAATAGTCGCAACACGTCCGACAGAGAGAGAGAGAGAGAGAGAGAGAGGTTGGTTTGCTTTTGAGGAGGACCAAACTCTTTAAGCTCCTTTGGCCAAAAAAAAAACTCTTTTAAGTTCCCAAAAAGCAACAACACAGTAAAATCAGAGCGCACACAACACATTCGGTCCAACTTCGTCCACTTCAGAACCCTCGGCATGCTTCCAAATAAGAAGCAACATGTATTGAAATTGATAGTGAAATTTAGCATACATTGACTCAGTTATTCACACAGACTTGAATTTTGTTGTTAACTCTCCATCAGACGAAACAGTAACCAATCCCCAGAAATACCTTTCCCAAATGCTGCCAAAATGATACTTGACAACCCTACACAACATGACAATCTAATAATGCATTTGAATCTCCAATCTCCAATCTCCAATTTACAAAAACAAAAACAAACATAAAAAATCAGCCTTTCTAGCATCATATCAAGGCCCAAAAGCTCCAGAAGACTCTGCAGCATCCTCTAGTCTCAATGTTATGGCCGCTTCTTCAATCATTTTACCTCTATCTGACGATCCTTCCACAGTTCTATTCAACCTCTTCAGCCATATATCATAATCAACTGGGTATGGCGTCCCACAAAGGCTATCCACATAATCAGCAAATGCCTTCAAAATTGCAGAAACCTGCCCAAGATATTGCTGTATTGTTCGCTTCGCCCAGCTTCTTTCCCTCCATTGTAGAGCAGATTCTATGGAGTCTTGTTGCTGCATCGTCCCTCCACAAATGAAATAGAGGACATAGACAATGCTTTCTGCATCAGATGAGGGACACAGCTTCCCATGTTGAAGAGCATGGGATGATGAGAATTGCAAGTTTATGGCAGGGCTGTCCCTGTCTTCCAACACAGCTCGACCCCAAGATATGGGGACATATCGACTTTTGAAACCATGTTGTTCAGCAACTTGTATTATATTTTCTGGACAAATGTCACCATGCTGGACATTAGCCATGGCTGCGCTTCTTAGAGCAGCTAAGCAGTCCCGGCAGCAGCGAATTGCTTCATCAGCTGAGAACTGACCTTCATAAGCAATTACAGATGAAAGTGGCATCCCTACCGGAGACGTAACAAGTATGGGGGTCCCACACCATGGGTGATCGCACCTTCCTCCAGGACTCTCCTTCTTGCAGGGACCAGAATGTAAAATCAGACCAGAGGCTATGATTTCCGGCAGATATTTGCTTCTGATTCCTTGATTCCTCAAAATATTTAAGACTTTTGTTTGACGTTGTACTTGGTACCAGAGACTCATGTCCTCCCAAGAAGGCTCAAGTCTAGAGGGATGGGCGCCCACATATAAAGTCAATAACTCTGAGGGATGATCAAGAGAGACAGCACTATATAGAAAATAGTTCCCTCCTACAACAGACTCCTGAATCTGGAAACTTCTCTGACCTTGTTGTGGATCTTCCAAGAGCAATACATCGCCCTGCTTAAGCTTCAGGCGTGATGTTTGCTTCCTAAGAAAGAAATCATTCTCGTCGAGTTCAACAATCTCTCCAGCTTCATAGTTAGCTGATCCTTGGTAAGGAATCAGTGCATTTTCACTCTCAATAATACAGCACTCGGTTCTGCGCTTTTGAAGGCGAAGGCCATGATCTGAGATTAGTGAAGCTACTGACTTTCTTGGCGGCCCCCTCCATTGAGCAATAGAATAGAAAGTTGCCAAGAGTACCTGCAAGGTTCCCATATCCCCCCAGTTTGCATTTCCTAGTCGGTTCCATATTGATTCTGCTGGGGTGACACCAACATCAGCACAGGTTTTGATCCATTCAGTCACAGATTGGTACGGATTGCTGGAGTTTAATAAATCAAGTTTGCCAAGGTCACCACTCAACCTCACGACCCCTCCATGCTTGGAATCTACAACTAGAAGGAAGACAGAATCACTATTGACAGAGTTAATCTTGCTCAAACTACGATTAACAAGAACATGGAAACCATAAAATAGAGCTTCACATATAGTGCGAGAAGAAATTCTCAGCCCATTTTCTGATATTACTTCAGGCCTAAACAATGCAAATGACACCACTTGATCCCATCTAGCTTTCAAATCACACCCAGTTTTTGCCATCAGAGCTAAGCCACGCAGTTCCTTAAGCCTTCCCCTTGATATTGCCTTTTCAACACTGTAGAACTTGGAACCAGGATGAGAGGTACAAGACACAAAAAGTGGCAGAGGCCCGCTTTTATGCCAAAATGTACGCCAGAGGCCAATGATAGTGGCGTGAAGGAAGTCTTCAACTGCTAGATACTGATCTTCAATGAGATGATCTTCAATAAGATCATCAGAAACTTCAGAGGAGTTTGGCATTCGTACCAGTTGTTGGAATGAAACCCCCTCCAATGCCAAATCAAGCTTACGCAACTCACTGGTTGTGAAGGGAGAACTGAAATATTGCTTCCTTTCCTCTGAGTTAGCATGTAGATTCTCCAAAACCCAATCCTCGAGATTTTGTGTGAAAATATCCAGGTCAAGAAGTTTTCTTCCACAGTCCTTGAGCCCTCTGTATACTCTTCTGGAAATAGGAACAAACTTGCTAGTTCCTGAAGTTGCAGAGACACTATGAGCAGCTGAGATAACTGCAACATGGAAAACCATTTCACTACTCATCAATAATAGGAATTGTAGCTATTCGTTAGAACGCAAAAAAAAATAGTCCTAGGATGGCTTGAATGGTGCAGCTGTTACATTCCGTAAAAATACTGAGATAATGAAGCATGATGCACAAGTTTACAAACTGAACAAGGAGAACTTGTGGATGTGCATTGACTAGTACAAGCTTGTTTAGCAGCAAAACTTCTTTCCACCGACAATTATCAAGACTCTTAAGCAATATGATTTATTACTTATTAGAATTTGGAACAATTAAAGCAACAATATTCGCCTGTCAATTTTCTCATACAATAACGGATCACTTTCTAATTTTTCATAAGAGAATCCAAAAATGAATACGCTGCAACTTGCATAAGTAGACACAGAGAATATCCTAAACTATATACAGGGGAAATAATCTAAGCAAGAAAAGAGTTATTGATGCAAACCAGAACTAGACTTCCTGAAACTTCCATCCAAGCTTTTTCCAGGAGATAAGTCCAAATCATTTTGCGGATAACCTGATGAACAGAATCAATAATGTTATGCACCATATAAATCTAATTAACAGTTGTACAATTATATCTTAATCAAATGAAGTACTCCGAATTCCTTGAAAGTGAGAAAATCTGTATCTTGAAAAATATGGTATTTCTCAATGCATGCACAGTCTGGAGAATAGACAGCACAGAAGGAACTTATGCAACAAAGAGCATCAGATTTTAATACAGGCCACGTCTGAACCATCTAAAACCTTCACTATGAAGCAAATCAAAATGCTGTATACCGATGTTGTAGTTGAAGTAATAATAAGAAACAATACTTTATCATAAACCAGGATGGTTAAATAGATTTCGTCCTCCGGCAAAACTAATGACAACATCAAAGGATTTTAGGGGACAACTTCATAGGCTTAATCATCATTGACCATTTTGTCCAAGCTTGCGATTTGGACAGAGTTGTAAAACGCTACATCATCAAGAGGCTGAATATATGTAGACTTACAGAAGAACAATAAAATGTATCATCCATGTATTTAAGAGAATTGAAATACATCACAAAAATCATCAGAATTAATGTGCTTAATCCGATCTCATTGCGGAGAGCCCGAAAAATGAAAAGAAGAGGAATATACAGCTACATTGATTGGGGCAAAATGTCTAGTTATTACCCGATTCCCAACTTCCCATAGAATAGTTTATCCAAATGGAATCCCATTTAGGAAAGGACAGACAACCAAAAAACGCCATAATTTTAATATAATGCTAATCACCATTCCCAAAAAACCATTAAATAATTCCCACAAACAAATGAACAGGTCAAAAGTGAATCCACCTAATTGCATTGCGACCAGCGAAAGGATGCTGAACGAAACCCAGAAAAGCTGAAAACTTGGTAGGATTTGATTGAAAGATCTCCCAAGTCCCAAAACAACGAAACCCACATTCTTTAACCCATGCGTGGCAATGGGTATGGAAGATGACAATGACCAGCATTGAAAGCAGAAGCAGAAGGAAAATGGGGAACTTGTGCGGAAGGGGACGTGAGGAAAGCGGGAGATCTTAAGACACTGGTGAAGAGAAACGAGGAGGGCATCTTTTTGTCCGGGCGATTCTGGAAAATGGGAAAGAAAATAGGCTACTACTGAGTGTGATTCAGATGAAACATGAAACGGTATGGAACAGGAAGAGAATGAGAGAAGAGGAATGAAAGGAGAGGAATGATTTTGTAGAAGAGTGAGTGTGAAGAGAAGCAAGCAAAAGCGAAGCAGCAACGACAAGATGCGAAGCTCTAAAAAAAGCTGGGGGAAAACCCAATGACCTTGTCTGACCCCATGGCAATAGGCCTTATGGCAGTTGGCCCCATTGAAATTGATGTATCAGAATTTCTGTACCCACGCGCTGATCTTCTAGCGCCTCGCTCCCTCGCCTGTTCCCTCAAGACTTTACAAAATTAAATAAATAAATAAATAAAATGTTAATGGAATTGTTAATCTTTAAATTTGTTTTTATTTTTATTTTGATCCCTCGGATTTTAAATTTTAAATCATAGATTTTTATTTCTCAAGTTTATTTTTAATTAAAATATTAATCTCTATAATTCAATAAAAACTTAAATTATTTTATCACTTGAAAAACTAAAACCTATTATTTAAAATTTAAGAAACTAAATATCATATTAACTCATATATAAATCATATTACCCTCATACTTATTATAAGTAACTTATGACACATACTTATTTATATATCAAGAAATGTATTAAATTGATAATTTTTTTCAATTTTACCCCAATCAAAATTTTTTCCTTCCTTTATATTTACAAATCATTCTCACCTCTCTTTTCTTTTTTTTTTTCCTTAACAAAAATAAATAAAGATAAAATTAGAAAACGACCTTATCAATGACTAATATTTAGAATCAAACACTTTATATACAAGTGACTTATCATTAAAAAAAAAAGAGTGGCATTCCTCTAGTAATATAAGTTAATTTATTAAACTGTTAGGATAAATATATTATTTTATTGTATAGATTGTAATTTTTTAAGTGTATGTTAAATAGAAATAAAATTATTAAATTTTAAGACAATTAATAAGATTTGAGGTTTTTCTTAATTCTGATAAAACATGTTGAAAGTAACTCATAAATATAATTAAAAAATATATTATACTCATTTAAATTAATGAATAATACTATTTATAATTAGCATCGCTTATTAAAACTTGTATATAATGTGGTATATGGATCGATTGATCAGAGGTGAGGCACCTTCAGCTCCGCAAGTTTTGTTTGGTTCAATGGGAGGGAGGGGGTGAAGGTGAGTGAAGGTAAGAGGAGGTTATGACTGTTGTTTGGTTAGAGGGGAAAAGAGAGGAGAAAATGTTTCTTGTTTGGTTGAGGAAGGGGGAGGAGAACTAATTATAAATTGACAAATATGTACTTATTTTTTATTATTTTATTTCTATATTTATATCAAAATTATTATTTTGTAATTTATGAATACAAAAAAAACAAAGTTATCTCATGTGTATAAAATATTTACATATCTCTAAAAATATACATATCATAAAAAATATTATATCATCATTATTAAATATCATGTAAAAGGGTTTTTACTAAAAAAACCTTGAAATTTAAAAATAATAGATGCTGAAAGAGTTAAAAAAAGTTTTTATTGAAAAGAATAAACTTTAAATATTTAAAAACTAATATGAATAATTCAGTTAAGGTGAGATATAGCATTTCACTCTTTTTCAAAAATTCCCATATTTGGAAAGGAGTAGAAGGAGAGGAGATGAGCACTAAACAAAATTTTTATCCTCCCCTTCCCTCCATTTTTTCAAACCAAACACAATTTCTCATCTTCTCCCTCTCCCTTCCTTTCAAAACCTTCCAACTAGACAATGCATAAGAAATGACAGCAATATTAATAACTAGTAGATAATATTAATATGATTTTTATAAATTGTATTTGATAATAATACCAAAATGTAAAAAGTAGATATTTTTCTATAAAAAAGAGAGTTCATATGTTCAATAATACAAAAATATTTTAACATATATAAGTCGAATTCTAAAAGTGAACATTTCTGCTTTGTTGGTTTCTTCTCTTCATAACTCATAAAGAATCTTATTGTTTCAGAGAAATATGTATTTATCAATAAAAGTTAGAGCTGATTCCAAATCATAACGTGGCGAACTAAAATTTAAATTCTCTTTAAAAGAAATACTCATATTTAGTGCTTCAAATGAGATTGTGTGGAAAAAGAAAAAGAGGAGTATGTATTTACAGAAATAGTTTTTGTAGTTTTCAATTTCAGGTACAGTGCCTTTTCTGATTCTTTTTATAAAGAAAATATTTTATAACATATTTGTAGTCTTTGACGTGAGAAACTTGACAAAATTTAACAATCTCTCTCAAATTGTTTTCCCCCGTCATATGGAAAAGGGTTGTTGTGGTCCACGCAGGCCCAAAGAGCGTGGGAGTGGGTTGAATAATTTAGTTTGGTGTTATCGGTTACGCTTTTGCCTGAATTTTATGTTGACCGAATTAGTTGGCCTGTGAATGAAAGTTAAAAACTTTATATGCCAGCAAAAAAAATTAAAAAATAGTGTTTAAATTAAAAAAAGTAGTAATATAAACTTTGAAACAAAATTACAGCTAAGTCTTGAATTAATAATTTTCAATTTTATAGATATTTAAAAATGGTAAACAAATTAGGAAAATTTCAAGAAAATATCTCTTAAAATTTTAAAATTTCAAATCAAGAATGGAGAAGAAAATGCGTTGTCATTTGCTTTTTAAATATTATTAATTATTATTAAAATATAATAAATAAGACTAATTTAAAATTTTAAAATTTAAAGATATTTTTTTGAAAATTCTTTCAACAAATTACAACATTTAGGAGCACCAAGAAAAACAGTTTTCGGTTTAGATATGTTAATGGGGCCCATGGGCTGTCCGGTGCTGGATCAGGTCCGTAACGATGTTTCAGGAAAATCTAAACACTCAAAATCACAAAAGTGGACTACAAAATCCTGCTAAACACCTCCTTTTTGTCCTTTTGTTTTTGAGTAGAATAAATTTATAATGAAAATAATTTATGCGTAGATGCACTTTGTCATAGAGTCTTAAATAAGAAACATAATTATTAAAAGTTTTAATGACGACAAAACAGCCTACAATAACAAATTATAGGATAAAAAATAACAATTACTCACTTATCATTAAGATTGATTAGTAATTATTGTTTCTTAAAACGTCATTATAATTCTCTCTTCTCATTTTAAGTTGGGATTATATTTTCTAAAGTGGATGGAATCACTTTTATTCGATACATAACCTTTTTTTCAGTTTTTAATTACGAACCAAATCATAAGACTTTTTGTTTATTATACATAGGAAGCTCTTATTTAACGTTCGCAAATTTAATTATTATACATTTATACTTTTTAGGAAAAATTACAAAAAAAATACTTCTTGGTTTTTAAAATTCAAAATCAGAAATTACTACAAAAATGTGTTGTCATGTGCTTTTTAAGTGTCAGTCAATTACTATTAAAGTACAATAAACAATATTGTTTTGGAATTTTAAAATTCAAGAGGGCTTTTGTTTTTCGAATTTTCCCCTACTTTTTATCAAATTTTCTTCGATTACTCCGATCCTAAATACAGTTATATTACAAAAAAAATAAAATGCTTATATTTATTATATATTGATCATGATGGTTTAAAAAGTATTTGTAATTTTTCATTTTATGTCTTTTTTATTTGTAAAAGCATCCTTTTAATTTTTGAACTATTTTATTACTTTACTAATAAATCATCTTTAGATATTATTTTGTCGTAGCAAAGTGTTTATAACTAAATTAGAAATTTTCATATACTATGCAAATAAATCAAATTTTATTGGCAAATAGTTACTGATAATATTTATCAAGAGAACCCTTCATCTCCTGTGAGAATATCTTATTCATGGCATCGGGAGGACAAAAGTCGTGAACTATTCATTATATGCAGCGCTGTGGTTGATTTTATCAAACATTTTTCTTGTATTACTAGATCCTGATGCATCTAGTCGTGCTCACAAGTTAATGTCAACCCAACTTAGTACGATCTGTTCGGAATGGTTTATAAATAATTTTTTATTCATAATTTATAAAATATGAGATAAATATGTGAAAAAAATTTATCATAATTTACATAAAATGTGTTTATAAGTAATTTTTAAAGCTATGTCAAACAAGCTCATACATGTGATATTTGAGTCATTGTTACTTATTTGAATTTGAATTAGTGTCTTGTACTATGTGGCGAATAATTTCAGAAAGGAGTGATTCCGATACCATTAATGCAATTTGCACCACAAGTTAATCAGATATTTAGAATTGTATGTAGTACCATATGTCAAAATATTCAAAGATTTATATGGGGCTATGGAAGTTATAAGATTTTTAGGCTTCTGTTTAACTTGATATTTAAAACATTTGTAAAAATGAAAAATTATAATAATAACGAGAGAGTGTGTGTCTGTGAAAAAATTGGAAATTTTTTAATTTAACATTTCAGATTTTCATTCGAAATTATTTCATTAGTACTCTGTGAGTCGATTGATGTGGCCGCCTATGAAGACTGCTTTAGGTTCTACTGTTATTATATATTAGGAGTATATATTTTGGTTATAAATATAAAATCTAATTTGTAGTGTAAATTGCATTACAAACTATATCTTATATTTAAAACTAGATGTAGCGTATAATAAATTATAGATAGATTTTATGCCATATAAATACTCCTCCGGTTCTAAATATAAGAGGAGTAGTAAATTTCATTTTTGATAAGTAATGATAAATAATTTTAAAAATCAGTGATTGTAAATTTTTGTTTGAAAAATACTTAACAAATTAAATATTTAATACCTATTCTTTTCAGAATGAAGCTATGAATTATACAAAGACTCGTATGGATTTAATTTTAAATATCAAATCTCTTTTTATATTAGCCAGGTACATTATGCACAAACTTTGTTTAATCCTATATATCAAAAAGCTCTGATCCCACTTCTTACACTCGAAAAGCATCTACATATTCTTTACCCCCAAAAAAAAAGCATCTATAATTCTATATATATTTTTTAACAGAAAAAAATACACAAAGGTAAATAATGCATATAAATCATAAAAGCCGATTAGGGACCTAGCTAGAAAATAATGCATATAAATCATATGGAAAAAAAATACACAAAGGTAAATTTGATATTACATTAAATAAACTATAAATAATATTTCTAAAGAAAAGAAGTGGATGAGATAAGAAATCAAATTGATAATGTGATCGTAGCAAAAAATACAAAAGAAAAAAAAAACAGTTTGACGCATTCTTTTCCTATTTTATACTTTCAAGAAAAGAAAGACTGATTTATAAATTGAATCTTTTATAATCATTTTATAATATATACTCCTCCGGTCCTTAATATAAGACCCATTTAACTAATTTGATTAGATTAAGGAAGTTAGGTAAGTTAGTTAATTATAAGAAAAGTGACACATTTTTTTTAAAACACCATAATCATCTTTTTTAATACCCCTCTCCCTCTTCCATTTGATTATAGTTGAGGAAATCTCTATAAGGGTAATTTAGAGAAAATTGATAAATATGATAAATGGGTCTTATATTTAGGACCAAAACCAACTTAAGAATTGGGTCCTATATTAAAAACCGGAAGATTACTATGCAAGAGGTGCTTTGTTGTATAAACGTGGTTAGAAAGCAACAAGAGCAACATGAAACTATTTTGCAATATGTGAGAGACCAAACTAATTAAAATTTGCAACTTCTACTCATGACACTAGTTTAAAGAGGGTGACAATTCAACAAAGTTGACTTAATCAGCAAATGTGGGACTTAGTTCCAAGACATTTTATTTACAACATTATTAAGGGTTAAATTGTCAGCATCAACATCACCAGAACCCGGACCCAAATTGACTCATCGTGGCTAATTAATAATCATCACGATTACAAAAGTAACAAATAAAAAAGAGTATGACAAACGACAAAAGTTTAGCTAAAATAAGTAGCATAATAATAAGAATAAAGGATGCTATACGCTAAAATAATAGTAATAATTAACATAATCAGGGAAACGGCTTACAAAAAAGCATATATATAGTCGAGAGGGCACTGCTTTTACATTATATGAAGATAAAGAAATATCTAAAGCATACGTAGTTCGATTAATAAAATAGATTGGTGAGAGAGACAAAATTATAATTAGGCCTAGTAATTAACTACAAATGATTTGAGTTATTTGAAATAATATATTTTTGATAAAGTAATGGCATTAAATTTGGGGCAGACATGCCACATGATGAATCTGCTAGTGATGATGATATAGATGATGCTGCGTTTAAAGAGTCAACAAGTGCAGGAATCCAAATGGCGTCCCTCACCACCTTCAAGCTTTGAACATTCAACAATCTCTGTCCCATGCATAAAATCTCAACCTGCAGTAGCAGATATATAATTAATATATATATATATATCCTGTGATCCTTAATATAAGATTCAGTTGACTAATTTAGAAAAATTCTAAAAATTACTAAATTACTTGATTATAACAAATATTTACGTGTATCATTAGATTACATATCAATAATAAAGTGGCAAATTAGTTTGGAAAAGAAACAATAAATATGAATATTTTAAGGTAATTTATTAATAACCTTCTTAATCTTCCCAAATAAGTCAACTGGATGTTATATTAAACACGAGGGGCAGTATATACAATCATGTTTGCTAAGTTTGCAGGACTGCTTATAATGGAGAGAAATGGCTTTCTAGGCAAGAGAATATATGAAAGTTACAAGCATTATATTATATAATTGTCAGGCTAGCTCTGATGAAGACTTACATTAACCGGAGCAAATGTGAGAGAGAACAAGAATATACTCAGAGTATGAAACTAATCTAGGTTATGATGTAAAAACTTGAATCATCTCTAAAATGTTCCTGAAGATCTCAGCATCCAGCCTTGTTATTATTTATTTTAACATCATGTCATTAAGATAATGGAAAAGTCTGTATATACATATAATTATATGTCATTGAGGATGTATGTCCAAAACCATCATCTTCCCAAACTATACCTTAAATACTCACACAAAATCACGTGACCTAAGTACCTAACTCACGGTTTAATTCTCCCAATCCGAATCTCTATCGCCTCAAAAGTAAATAATTATATAAAAGAACTGGGAGTAAAGAGAAGAAGATCAAACATTTAATGATACCAGTAATTGGGAAAAATCAAATATATGGCATTCTTGCAGAGGACCCAACAATCACATCATAGTTTCTTCACACATATATATATACCCATGCATTAATCGAGAGAGAGAGAGAGAACATCTGGTTAACCTAATTAATAAAATAATCAGAATCTCAGATAAAACGGGCAGATCATAAAGGTATCCGAAAAAAGCATATCAAGTCGACAACGTTGGAAGAGTTCTAAAGCCTTCTAAATAGATTTGTTGATACATCATTCAATGGAGCAATATTTGACGGAGTCAAGGGTAATTAATGTATCAAAATAATTATGTCCAGAAACCATTACGTACACATGCAATGCATATGTACTTAGTTATAATCTTACGTTAGGAGCATCATATATTTGGTTGCATTATACCTAATTATCCCCTTTTGTAGTCTTATGTCAAAATTTTCATGCGATTCCTCTGACATTTTGACATATGTTTGGGAAGAAAATCCAGATCCAATTATATTGATGTTTGTATAAGATTAATTCACTTCCTGCATAAAATACTGAGATTTATTCTTATAGTGTGATGATAAATTAATCGTGCTCATATTAAATTTTAATTTTCGATTTGATAATGGATCGGACAATTGTGAAAGTTATTTGAAAGGAACACTTTTTTTTTTTTAACTGAAGTCTGATTAATTTCATTCACCGAACATCAATAATTATAACTGGAAATGAGTCAATGTGTTTTAGCCAAAACATATTCGAAAAGGCCAGGGCAACCTGCTCTTTGTGTTGTGTACATTCATAATTTCTTAAAATAAAGTAAAAAATTAGTCCAGAAAATTAATTAAAACTACGGACTTTTAACTTAACAAGATATATAGTAAATTTTTTCACCATCAGATCTTTTAAATATTACAAATTAAAAGCTTCACAGGATGTTAAAGTTCAGCAAAGCTTTCTTACAATTTTTCTCCAATTATAGTTCTTCCTGTAAACTTTATGAAATGCAGGACAATATTTTTTATTATTTACTTTGGAAAATTCTTTAATAGAATAATTAAAGAATCAAACACTTGGCTTGATGCAAAAGAAGATGATGATGGAAACTTGTTGACAGTTAGTTCATCATTAATGGGCTACCTTTCAGAACTAGAGTACCCTCTAAAATCGTAAACCCTAAAACACTTTGTAGCTAGGGCTTTCGTCTCTCTGTCAAATGCATGGCAGTTGCAGAAGATATATAGATATATATATATATCATTCACATAACATGACCCACGTAATGAGAACTTGTCATTTCATTCTGATCTCCTAATGCATGCATGCTTTTGATATAATTATTAATTATTGCTAATACTTTTTCCTTTCAGAAAATGCTCATCGATTCAATCAATTTCAGAAACCAAACAAGACACAGAAAGAGATCATATCATCAGGTTGCAGTATGAAGGAGAAAAAGTGTACTAAATCCTTACCTCATTTTCGTTGAAGAGACCAAGTTTTGTAACCAGATACTTCTTAACCATGAAGATCGTCATGTTTTCGTTCCTTTTCCCAGATAAAAAAGGACAAAAGAAAAAAAAACATTGATAAGAAAGTTAGAAGGGGAAAAAAAGAGGGCCATGGCAGAAAAGGCAAAGAAAAAGCTAGAGCCAGCTTTTTCACTCATTTCAATAAACATCATCATTAAGAAAGTGGAAAAATATAGTGTATGATCAGGGCATGCATGCTAACTTGCACCACTTACTTCACTCTAATGTACGCCTTTGGCACCTGAGGTAAAGCTTCTCCTCTTCTGCCATTTATCCAAACCAAATTAAAAACATCATTAATTACACCCCCTCACAGAGAGACAAAAAGAAAAAACAGCCGACAGTACAGATATAACTACATATACTGACAAGAAACTGAAGAACTAAAACGTGATATCGAAAACTCAGGTTGCTTTGTTATGTGTTGTGTGGCTTGTAATGATGAACACCCACAAGAGAACAGAACTCTGGTTATGATTATCGCAGCAAGTATGAAGCAATGATTATTAAACCCAAACGCAAGTAAAGTTGATTTTAAGTTTTTACCATATAAAAAACCTTTTCTTTTAGATCATTAATTGTTCTGGGGGGTAAAAAACTAGAAATTGTTACACTTATTTAGTGTTATAATACTATGCTTGAAAGTTGAGTGCGTTAATGATGAAGAGATGGGAAAAATTTTGCTTACTGGTTGGTAGAAGAGTGTAGCGTAAACCACAAACCAGAGTGGTGGGGATTTGTGTGGGAGAAATGATGAGAATTATGAGCTGGTGGACTGGGTTTATACCAATCCTGAGGATCCATTTGCCATGATGGTAACCTCCCAATAAATCTTCTTGCTACTTCCTCCACACCTGCCATTTCTGAACTTTCCTGCTCCATGTTGGGCCATAATTTTAACCCTAACCCTAACCCTAGTGAGCCAGATCTTGGAACTACCGGGTTTGATTCACCATTATTATTACCCACTCTTTTCCTGCATAAGGTTGTAGCAGATCCTGACCCCAATTTCAGCTGCAGCAAGTCGTCGTCTTCTTCGTCTTCTTCGTTATCATCATCGTCTTCTTCTGCTTCTTCTTCTTCTTCTTCATCAATCTCTTGTATTGCACCTTTTGGTCCTCTTTCTTCATCGATGTATTTGAGGAATTGGTTGTGGTTGATAGAGCGAGAAGAAGAGGCCATGAGTTGTGTATGTATATTATAAGCTAAGGCAACTATATCTTTTTCAAGTAATGCGTTTGATACAAGAGAAGTGAGGTAGGGTTCGGTTTGGCTCTTTTAAGGAAGAGTATGCTTTTTCCTAACACATACCCATCGTCATCAGAGGGGGAAAAAATAAAACAAACAAATAATTCTTTTCTTTTCCTTTTTCCTGAGAAAGAAAGATATGTAACGTACCCTCAAGGCCTCAATAAAATAAAACGAAGAAGAAAATAGAAAAAAAGGTTTCTACTAGGCTTTTACGGGATCAAAATCGGAACGAAGAAGAAGATGGATATTGAGAGAGGGAGGGATGGAGAGAGAGACAGAGACACAGACACAGACAGAGAGAGAAAGGGCAGTTTCGCTCTTTTCCGAGGAACAACATGATGGTCTGGATTACATCTGAACAGTCTCGAGAACTAGGAACGTGGGAGGTTTGTTTCTTTCTAGTTTGTAGAGCCAGGACACACGCAAAGGAGGAACAAGGAGGGAATGGAGGAGAGAGAGAGGTGTTTGTACCTGATGATGAGTTTGAATTGAAAGGAAGAAGAAGATGAGGAAGGAAGGAAAGAGGAAAGCGTGATTGGGGCTGCTACTTCTGTGAACGTACGAATCGGTTTCATCTGCATCGTTCTTCGCGAAAACCCACTGCTCCTCGTCCTGTGTTCCTCTGTTCATCCTCTTTGTCCCTTGAAACATAATAAACCAAACACCCAATAAACTTAGCTTCAAGTTCAACAAATGCCTCCCTGCCCATCCGTCATAATAAAGTTTTCAAAGCAAAGTTCCGTTTTTTAAGTGTGAACCAGATCGATCCATGTGGAATCATTTTTATAATTCAAATTGTTCTTCATTTTTAAAAGCACAACGTGCTTTTTAAAAATTTTAAAGACTCTTAATAATATTATTTTCTGGTGATGTTGCGCTAATATCTTTTTTCAGAAAGCTCTCTCTATTTTAATGATCGTTGCACATTTTTCTATCTAATATGGAATTATAAATTACTATACTGTAACATTTTTCAAGCATGCACTACGTTATAACTCAGTAAGTTTACTGAGGGGATGCACTCTCTTGTAATTATGTAAGTTATTGTAGATATCGTCTTATATATTCAAACTTAATTTAACACAAACATTTTATATGAAATATAAGGTATAACAACTCACATCTTTTAAAAGCTGCGATCAATTTTTTCGTTTGAAGTTACCAAAGGTTGAAGTCTTTTTTTTTTTAAGAGTAAAAGAGAAAATGATATTAAAGGTAATAAAAACATTACTAAGTTTCAATAAACTGAGGGGCAAGGTCAAAAAAAAACCGAGGGGGAAAAAACTTCTCTAAAACTATTAAAGTCTTTTGAAACTGCATTAAGGAAAAAGCGACAAAAATGGGGTTATTTTATTATATATATTATCATGAAACTCAAGTTTATACGAGTTGCAATTGATTTTTTTCCAAAAAATTATTAAAATTACATAAATTTGTATTTGAAAAGTACTTTCTCCGGAGGAGTATATTGGATAAATTATCATCTTATATTTAACAGTTAACTATGTGTTAATTAAGATACTAAAAAAATCCACACAAAAAAAAGGATGCCATGGAGAAGATACTGTTGTAACTAGAGCCTACTCCCTCCGCACAAGTGGGGTTAGGTTGTTTAAAAATTAAATATGGATTTTTTTGGGCATTAATAAATTAAAAATTTTATAAAAATATGGATGAAAGCGTGTGGCTTTTGATTTCGACTGTGAACCACTCATTTGCCATTATTGTCATTAGTCCCTCATATGCCCTTTGTCTTGATTGAAGTTATTTGAACGAACGAAACTTTTCATGACTGTAATTGGTACAGAGAGTGATCAGATAGAAAGCAAATTATAATTATAATTTTAAAAATAATTTTATAATATATAAAATAAGTATGAATATATAAATTAAATATATGAGAGAAGTTTTGTCTTCATTTATGTAAAAAATTTTGCCCAACATACGATTGGTTGTCTGAAATTTTGAGAAATTAATTGATACTACTATTAACTGTTTTTTTTAATAAATTGATATTAATTTTTATATATTGATAATCAATTTCGAAGTGAAGATATAGATATCTACAATATAACATTTATAAAAATGCTCACTTTATATTCTATGTAAATGACGTGTATATAAAAAATTTTCAATATATTTTATTCGGAATAATATATATTATACATATAAGTCTCATAATAGAGAATTTCATGTTCATGCTCACTGTGCTCAAAAGGGGATGTGAGTGCAGGTTGACTTTAGGGTAAAACCTGCACCCACCCTCATAATTGTGACAATCTTTAAATGATCAAGTTTTAGATATGAATGACAGAAAGCAAAAAAAGAAACAATGATTTCCATTCAATGGTCATAATGTGGACTTATATCCTGAAAGCAAAAGGTTTGGTGCACTAGGTATATGTGTTGGGAAGCTGCGATTGTAACATCTCAACTTTTTCTTTTTAAAACCTCATGTTAAAATCATTTGAATTTACAAGCAATAAAACTTTCCATGCTTAATGCCGACTTTGGTACAATAAAATTAGAGAAAACCATATTGAAGGTACTTATACTTTCTCTCAATTTTTAATTTGATACCTATGTGTTTTTCCTTTTAATTAAACATTTAATTTTATCTTTTTAGTAACATTAGCTCATATAACTTTGTTCTATTGATATTTTTAGTCTCTACATAAGGATTAATAATGTTAATAGAGTAAAATTAAAGATTTAGTTAAGAACAAAAAACACATAGGTACCAAATTAAAAATTAAAAAAAAATATAAATACCTCCAATATGGTTTTCCCAAAAAATTATTTTGACTGAAATTGAGTGAATCCCTTAACCATTGGTTTTTGAATTTTTTTGGACTGACATCAGTTTTTGAATTCAGCTGGACCACCCCGACACTCTCCCGATGAAATTTAACGCAATTGCATTCTCAGAGTTTAAACATAAGAGTACTGATTTGAGGGTGTTTGGAACACCTTAAAAATATTTTTCAGAAGTATTTTTTTATAAATCAAGATAAATTCCTCTATATATTTATTTTGTGTACTGTAAAAATACTTTTAAAATTATAGTTTTATTTCTATCCAGACACCCCTTAAGTTAGATGAACCTCTTACTAGTTTAATTAACCACGCAGTTGTTGGTGACTTGCTCAAATACATACTAATTAGATTTGTTGACTTTAAATATTTAATAGTTTGCTACCAAAAGTTTGTTAAAAAAATGAAAATATGAACATGAATAAATATTATAAAAAAAGAGAGGGAATCCGTGAACATAAAAAATAAATACAAATATCATCCGCATATTAAAGGGTATTAATCTTTTTTTTTATGTCAAGATCATATTTATTAAACAGTAAAATGATTCCAAAAGGGTATTAGGGGAGTTTGGGAATCTTAGAGGTATTTAAGAAAATATTTTTACACAAGTTGAGAGGAATTTTTTTTTATATACTTATTTTGAATCCTGTAAAATTATTTTTAAAAAAAGCCAATTCAAAACATATGTCATGTTTCATCGAGAGAAGTTACATTTATGGGAATACTTGATGAAAGCAAATTTTTTAATGGAAGAATGATTGTTATAGCTGGCCTAGCAAGCAGATATCGCTTCCCATGCCCGTGCTACCCCTTTGATTAAAATTCCTTTCTTACCTATCAAGCATGCACAAAAGATTGTATGAAAACGGAGTATTTTTTTCGGCTACACTGTAATACCAAAGATAGGATGAATGATTACTGAACTCAGTACTATTTATTGACGTGACGTGAAAAAAAATAATTATATTATGAAGAATAAATATTTAATTATTATTCTTCTCAAAGCCTTTTTCTCCTCATTACAAAAAGTCCGTTTGGACGACAAAAAAATAATTTATTTTTAATTTGATTTTTAGAAAGGTTAGATAGGATAAAAGTTAGATTGACTTTTATAAAAATTAATTTGTAAAGTTAAAAATTGATTGGATTATGATTGAATAAGTAAGTTTAAATTTGTAAAATGACCAAAATGGGATGATTTTTATTAACTAATAAAAAAATTAAAAATATAAATTTACAAATATAATAATTTTAAATTATTATTATAACAAAAAGTTATATTTAATAAATAAAATATGTTTGAATTAGAAATCATAGTAATGTGAAAATTTTTTAACCAAATAATATTAGATAATTAATTAGATGATATACTTTACATAATTTATATAAATATAAAATAAAAAATAATATTACAAATTAAGAATATTATAAAACCTATTAAAAATTATTTTCATTTAAGAGAATATAAAAATAAATAATTAAAAACTGATTGAGAAGGACAAAGAATATATAAAAAGAAGTATGAGAATAACATAAATATAAAAGCAAAAATGTCTTTTAATTTCAAAAAGTTATTTTTACATAAGTCATAAGTAAGTTTTATGTGTTTTTACAAACATGTTTAAAAAAAACAGATTTTGATCCATAAGTCAGATTGGCCACAAATTATAATAAACAGTTTTTAAATTTACAAACTAACTTATCACAGCTATAAGTTATTTTTTTCCTCTCAAAACACCTTCCAAAAGGGCTGAAAATTGAGTCTCCTATGCCTCAAGGTTAGGTAGACAATCGGAGAAAACCAAAAACCAAAAAGCTACAAGGAATCAAAAATCCAGAGCATTCCAAAATAATGTCTATCCATCTAATCGCACTGTCATATAAGCTTTTAAATTAATTAATTAAATTAATTTTATATAGTATAGGAGTCAATCTAGGTCATCTCTCTCTATAAGGAGCTAATGTAGAGAAAGAAAGAGTAGGAAAGAAAGTCAATTGATTTTTTAGAAAAATAAATTGAGAAAAAATGATGAAAATTAAAAAAAAAAGTAGAAAGGAATGAAGAATTTACCAGAATGATGCAGTTCTGAATGACGTTGATTGAAAAGGACCTCTTCTTAATACAAAATTATAAAACCATTTTTAAAATGATAATTATGGTAGAAAAAGAATTGAGTTGAAGCGTTAAAATATTATCATGGTTATAAAGAGTTTGTTTTATTCCGAAAATATCTTAACAGGTTTAGGATACATAAAACACCTATGAGTTTAACAACGCATAGAATAAGGACTCGAGGCACAATGACAGTCCACAAGCCCAACATAAACATTCATTTCATAAAGACTTAAGGCACAAAAAACACGAGGTGCTCAGCCTAACCCACGAGTCATACACATAAGAATAACACAAACAATAGAGTCTTATGGCCTCCAGTCATTCTAACAACACTCTATCAAATATAATCATCCAACAACCCAACAAAAGAAAGTATATATCAACAAAATCATAGGCCCTAAAATAGCAATATATATAACATTACATGCCCATACTAAAAGAGAACTACTAGGCTATACTCGCCTATACCTCTGGTTGCTTCCTTTCGCGCCGAGCCAAATTAGATGGCTCTCCTAAAAAGCATTAGTGAATAGTGGGTGAGACAGAATGTCTCAGTAACTAAACATTAATTTATGACATATATACGTAGGACGGCAACTTAGTAAAGTAGTGGCTAAATATAATTCAAGTAATAAATGATATTTTAATAGATACAACCACATGAAAAGGAGTATGTCTCACCATCAACAAAATAATTTATACAAAGTACACATATGCAACAACACAATGAAATATGTCCTCCTATCACCATACTCC